TCATAGCAAAGATGTTCCTTAGCCCCTCCTTCAAAGTTTGCAATAGAGCTCTTTGCCGCTCGTTAGCTCGTACTTCATGTTCTGCATGTGCAGCCACGTTCTCTAAGTCGTAAGACTCAGGTCTATTCTTTCCAACAATATATTAATTCTTATATGTCTTAGGCATTTCTTTCACACAAGTCTCACCAAATGTGCCAAAAATTGTTCGTAAAAAACAAACAATTAAAGGCTTGGTGTCGCGAGGCGTGCCAGAAATTCAGGATTTCAAAAGGATGGAAGAATTTGACTTCTAATCAAACGTGGAGAACCTAGGCTCCCTTACCACAGTTCACCTGAATGTGAGAATGTAAAGTGAAGAATACTAATATAAATGCAGAAAAGTAGAGATGCATTAATTAAAAAAAAGGATGGCAGGCTATGCCAGCTGTACAATTAAAAATAAAAACTAAAATAACAGGCGCAAAGTCTGAGACTAGTAGTTTATTGATGTTGATAATGACTGTTGAGAGAGAGCTCCTCTATTTGTAAATGATCTTAACTTAGTGCTCAAGCCCTATGATCGTCACTTTTCTTGAATTTAGGAAACACTTCCTCTATCATGTTCATTCATTATGGGTGATGATCTTAACTTAATGGCTAAAATTTCATGAATATTCTTTTTTAGATAATTATTTTAAAGCCAATTAAGTTGAGTTGGGCTATGGCTTCTAAATTCACAATTTGGGTGCAAATAAGAGCCAATCGTAACATTTCATACAATTTTTCTCTAAAAAATAAACAAATATCTACAAATTCCTCTATCACTTTTAAAGCAACCTGCACATGATTGACAGTCTGCGTTGGCAATTGGCGTTCATTTTCGTTGCTAGCAATTTCCAATGGAAAATTCAAGGCCTAACACATAAAATCGATCGAGTCCAAATTTCAGTACATTTTATTATGAATTGTTCATCCCATGTACACCTCGTCTGGATAATCAAATCAAATTTGATTTGATGTATATATAAGTGAGTAATCAAAATTTTATATTTTTGGTGCTTTTTAATTTAAATAATTATTGTTATACAAATTTAAATATTTATATTATTTTACACCTTTCTCCATTTACGATAACATTTAATATTAAAATTTAATGAAAATATATGAAAAAAAAGATATCTAAGTTTTACTAAGTGGGTGTGATAATAATGGTAGCAGTTTGGATCATTTAAGCATTATTTCAAGATTCAATATTTGAAAGAGTGTATAGAAAATATCGCTTGAAAAAAAAACATCTTTTAAATTATGCTCAAATTTATGAATTTAAAAATTAGTATCATAGTTCTCCACTCTGAAGATATCCAAGGAAAAAAAGTTGGGAGAATGACAAATAATGATTTTATAAGAATATTAATATCAAAATTAAGATTTTTAAATAATGACGTTCCTGAATTTTAGTATTATTTTTACCATGTTTCAATATTAAAATTCTTAATTTGACTTTAATATTTTTACAAGGTTCTTATTTGTCATTCTCTCAAAAAAATTCTTATTACTCAATTTATTTATTAATATTTTGAGAAAAATTATGTATGAGTCTCATGAAGCAAACTTATTTACAAATAATAAGTTTCACAGAGTTTAGAAAGCAAAGGTCCATAGCCAGGATTTTTAGGACTTAAGTGTAATTTAAAATTATGATATAAATACAATATTGCCCTTACTTCTAATTGACGCGTGATCAATTTAACAATTAAATAAGTGAAGTTATAGAGGTAAAATATTGGACTAATAGTTAAAAATTATTGAAGAAGTAGTTAAAAAACTTTATTAGCAACACATGAGTCGCTCAACTATTAGATATATAAAGTTACAGTTATAAAATATTAAAGTAATAGTTGTAAATTATTGTTAAATTGACATGATTGATTTAACTATTAGATAAATGAAGCTATAGTTGTAAAATATTAAAGTAATAGTTGTAAATTATTGATGAGGTGGTTGTATATAATTAGTATTAAATTTGTACCGCATGATTAATTTAACTATTAAATATGTGAAGTTACAGTTATAAAAAATTAAAATAATATTTATAAATTATTAATTAATTAATTATAAATTAGTTTATTGATGTAGTGTATTTTTAATAGGAATACTATTATCTTCACATCCTAAGTTTAAATTACACTCGAGTCCTAGGAGACTTAGCTGTGATTTTTAAATTTTGGAAGAATTATTTGTAAATAAGTTTGCTCTACAAAAATTATATATAATTTTTCTTATATTTTTTTATCAAATCTTTATTTATTGCGATATTTTAATTTATTTAGTGCAGTAATTAGGGTTAAAAATTTAGCAATGCAGTTAACATTTTAATATATCAATGACATTCTTTCATTTATGTGTTTATTGACTAAACTTAAAAAGACTTATACCATGAAAAGAAAATACCGTGTACAGTTCAAGTTGTTCATACTTTATTAGTGTTAAGTGTTAACTGTTAGGTTAAGACACTGACCGTTCGTTTTTTTTTTTTTTTCCTTTTCGTTTTGGAGTGAAAAAGCTGACCACTCCTTCCGTTGAAATATTTTTTTGAGAGATTAAATATTAAAAAATATAAAATATTTTTAATTTTGTAAAATAGAATTATTTTTTTTAAACTGTCCCTATTAAATAAATTATTTTATATTTATTTTAGGGTAAAACATTCTATTAAATAAAAGTAAATATAAAAATATATGGTTAATTGAAAAACAAGTAACTATACTTTATATTTTTAAGTAGTTAAAGCATTTTTTAAGTAATCACAAACTTTGATTTTAATTTCATGACACAGGGCTCAATTTATCAAAAAAAAAAAAAATACATGTGAATGGTAAAAGAATAAATTCTTTCGCCACAGGAAATAATTATTGACGGAAGTTTATACGTGAGTAGTAAAAGGATTCCTTTATTTAAATTTATTGTTTCCATTTTTCTTTAATCCAATTACAAATTAGAAATGCCATGGACCGAATAAAAATGATTAAATTTAATTTATTTTCATTCACAAATTTTTCTAATTCAAACATAGTCTCGCTTAAATTATGAACCAGATTTACACAACATATAAATTGAACGCGAGATATCCTACACGCGAAGTTTGGTCTATTTATTAATTTGGATATAAACAAAAAACATGGAAAAATAAATAAAAATGAAATGAAATAACCTGTATCTGGATTCAGGATGGAGTTGGCCCCTTTTTTGAGATTTCGACAAAGCCTCTGGGGCGTGCATGGCTTGCGTTTACTGTTTACACTATTGCACAATAAAATTGTGGGAGACATTTCCAAGAGAATAAAAAAAAAAAAATTGCGCCTGATATATCATCAGTGTTGGGCTTAGTAGAAATAGTTAGTTTGTCGCTAACATGATAAATTAAAATTATTAAAAGAAGTATTTATATTTAATACTCAATTTTATCTTTAATAAAAAATTACCTATATCCAATAAACAATTAGTGAGATATAAATCTTTCCACAAGCCCTCCGACATATTATATGAAGTTTTTACCCTACCCCGTAAAAGCTATGTGTTTCATTATGTGAGTTATATTTTTTCTGACTTTCGCCTGCTCCATAGTAAACTTCAGAGGACATCAGATTTGCAATATAACCGTTCATATGTAATTTACAGCTCATTTCTTCCCCCTTTTTATTCGTCCTTTTGAAACCATGTGGGGATTATTGTAAAACTGAACAGTATTTCAAAAGACTCTTTTTAATTAATTCTCTCAACATTAAAAAATATAAAATATTTTTAATCAAATTTTATTTTAATAAAGTAGTTAATTGATTTCAAATTAATTCTATTTTTTCATATTTATCCCTATTAAACATGAATATTTTATTTTAAAATAAATATAAAATAGTTTATTTAATAGGGATACTTTTGAAAAGAAAGTAATGATTATACCTTAAAAAATTAAAAATGTATTACGTTTTTTAATATTTAATTTATCAAAAAATATCTTATGTTTTTGAACAGAGAGAGTACTTAATTTAGATTAATTTACATGTCTTATTGACCTAGTCTAAAGTCTAATTATCTCTTGACTTTCTCCCTTAAAACATGCCTTTTCCTAAATTTTATTAACCATTTATGATGATAATAAGACCTAATATTACGTGTTGAAAATATAATCCTTTTCTTTCACGTAACTACTAAATGTAAGATCTCAAACTCCCCCCACCCCCCAAAATTAACTGTACACTTTTCTTAAATAAGTCTGAAAACTAACAATTAGTAAATAATTAACTTACTTAATTTTTTAAATCTATATAAATTAGTTAACTAATTCTCATTTGACAGAAGCACTAGTTAACTAATTCAAAAAATCTTTAAAGACAATAACAGTACCAATACTTTAAACTAATAATCTAATGAAACTTTGATCCAGTCCATAGTTGGTTCTCTTCCATTATCGTCTCCATCAAATGCCGAAATACTAGCGTCTCAGGCCGTGGCTCAACTTTAAGATTCAAAGGACAAATCCTTGTAATCACAGGCAAAGCATAACTGAATTTTGGTTTGAGACCAAAGGGTCTTACACAACCTTATTAAGTAAATGATTCAGTAATTAACCTGGAACATACTGATCATCATTAGTTCCTGCACAACCTGAAAACTTGAAACTAAGATTTCACAATTCTATTTTGCTGCAGAACATTTGAAGACAAGCCATCAACTCAAGTTCAACAGATCAGCAATCCCGAAAATCTTACAAATAGACACATCACTGACAAAAATGAACAGTTAAGTTGATCACTATCAGTTCTTCATAGGTTTATTGAAACGAAAATAGCCTATGGAAACAAAAAGAATACAGAACAAACCACGCATTAATTCAGGGGAAGAAGCAATAAAGCTACCACATAATAGACGCCGAGTGCGAAGAGCGTTTTGCTTAATGAAACGACATCGTTTCTCATCCACCTGGTAAACGCTCGAAACGGCAATTTTTCAGTTACTTTATCTTCTCATTCGGAAAGTGCGTATCAGCAAAAATGGCTGCGGCTACATATTCTCCTGCTTCACTCTCTCGCTTCTATGTCAGTTCAAGACCTTATCCCCCGAAATTTTTCTTCTTCAAGTTCTCTGGTACCGGAAAAGACCGTTCTCGAACCGGTGCGGCTCGGTTCAAGTGCTCGGCGGGGCAGACTGGGTTTTTTACGCGAATCGGCCGTTTGATAAAGGAGAAGGCTAAGAGTGATGTGGAAAAGATCTTCTCTGGTTTCTCCAAGACCCGAAACAACCTGGCTGTCATCGACGAGCTCCTCCTCTACTGGAACCTGGCCGACACAGACCGAGTCCTCGACGAACTCGAAGAGGTTCCTCTTCTTTGGTTTTGAAGTGATTTTCAGGGTTTTTATTATTTATCTTGAAAATGATTTCATGCAGTGAAGAGAATAAGAATGTGAGTATTGGTAGCTAGTTAGAAGTTTGCTTTGAACGATGAATATGATATGGCTTTAAGCTTACGAAATTTCTTTCTTTGAATGTAAATGGTAAGAATAGCGCTATATGCAACTGACCGCATTTAACATCAAGTAGCTTATTCTCTGAATCCTTTTTTTCCCTTTTCTTTTGCTCCGGCTAAATTCAAAAACAGCCCCTTCATCACTGGTAGCTTTGACAGCTGTGAGCACCGTAATTTTTTTTTAAAATAATGCTTCAGCGTGATTTCTGCATCTATGGGGTATTTTTTATTGAAAATTGCGAAGAAAAAATTCATATGAAAACATATATATCGATGGGAAAAATTTAATTGGAACTTCTCATTTTTCTTTTCAGGCACTTTTGGTGTCTGATTTTGGGCCTAAAATTACATTGAAGATAGTGGATAACTTGCGTGAGGATATATTGTCTGGGAAGCTTAAATCAGGGAGTGAGATAAAGGTGAGCACCTTGGAGTTTAGGAATTTTTAATTCACTAATCTTATGCTTTAATGCCTGACTGATGAGCTACACATAATTTCTCCCAATACTCTGCCATGTTGCAAACCAAGCAATTTTATCTGCAATATGAAATACTTTGCTGTATTTTAATGGCTTTAGGAAGCATTGAAGAAGAATGTTTTGGATTTGTTGACCACGAAGGGGAGTAAAACTGATCTTCGACTTGGATTCAGGTGGGAGTCTGCTTTAACTATTGCCTTCAACATTGTTACAAACTACTTTGGTTGTGTTCTGATTGTGGTCGATGTTGAGTTAATTTTTTAATGTAATCAGGAAGCCAGCAGTAATAATGGTAGTTGGTGTTAATGGTGGCGGGAAGACCACATCTCTGGGTAAGGAAAGGACTTCAGGTCTTGGCCCTATAATTTGTCATATAACAAAATGAAAACCTGAGACACCTTTTACCCCCTCCTATGATATTGTGAACTAACATAAAATGGTACATGTTTCATTATCTTTAGTGGGGATGGGAGATTTTAAATCTTTTACGGAGCTATTTTACATATGCATATTACAGTCTTAAACTAATAATCGTTATATGAACTCAAACTTAAAAATAAAACGGAAAACCAAAAAAAAAAAAAAGAGTACAATCTTTACAGTTTAACCAACCAAAACCATGCTGATTTGATCATTTCACTTGCAGGTAAGTTGGCCTACAGATTGAAGAATGAAGGGGCTAAGGTGGGAATATGTTACCTGAGCTTTGCTGTGGCTATTGTTTTATTCTCTGAATTAAAATTGGTTCATCCATGGAGAACCCATTGCCTGAAGCCTTTGAAGAAGTAAATTTGAAGTAAATAAACTAGAAGGTGATACGAAAATAATAAAAAGTTTATGTCATTTAGATGGTTATTGGCTGTTGAGGGTAGTTAGGTTCTTTAGCTGTCTTTTAATGATTTTACTCAGCATTCCTATAAATATTAAGATGCCTCCCTCATTTGTAAATAGCCTATGGATATAATGGAAGTCTATTGATCAGAATCTCTCTCTCTACTCTCTCTCTGGTTCTCTCTATCTCTCCTGTTCTTCCTCATTCTTTCCCAATTCTGTTCTACTTCTTTATCTCAATTCTACTTTCTTCTCTATTTTCTGCAACAGAAGGATTATGGCATTATGTAATTTGATGTCTATGATCTATGGTTATGTTTCTCCCCTCACTTTATTGCATGGGAGAATAACATATTTCCATGTTTGCAAATCCACCAGATATTGATGGCAGCTGGTGATACATTTAGAGCAGCTGCTAGTGACCAACTGGAAATATGGGCTGAGAGGACTGGGTGTGAGATAGTAGTGGCTGAAAATGAGAAGGCCAAAGCATCATCAGGTGTAAATGGATTTGCATTGATGTGATTCTATTGTTCATCTTTGAGTCTTGTAGCATCTGCATGACGTTATGTTTCTTGCCTTTATTGCTGTTCACTGCTATAGATGATATGCGATGGATAAAACTTACCTTATCGTGTTACTTGCAGTGCTATCACAGGCAGTTAAAAAGGGAAAAGAGCAAGGTTTTGATATTGTCTTATGTGATACATCTGGACGTAAGTATAGAGACTTTTTTTAAGCCAGTGCATAGAAACTTAATATTACCTACTGTGTACTTCGATGAAACTTAATACATCTCTTCATTTTGGTCCTTTCAGGCCTGCACACTAACTACAGCCTAATGGAAGAGTTGATTTCTTGTAAAAAGGCCGTTGGCAAAGTAGTTTCTGGTGCACCCAATGTAAGCCCAAGTGATTGATGCATTAAACTTTTTACTCTTATTGGTCCTTTGGTTTCTGGTAATTGGTAATTTTTGGGCAGCTAATTAGATCATACGTCTTATGTTTGGTTAGAAGGGAGGGGAGTAGAGGGAGGGATTTTAATGGAGGGGAGGGAGGGGAAGAAGGAGGGGGAGGGGAAGGAAGAGGGTAGGGAGGGGGAGAAATCCCTCCTAATCTCCCCAATTTGGAGGAGAGGGGAGGGGAGGGTCCCTTCCCTTCCAACCAAAAGGGGGTCAGTTCTAATCCATTGCTAGTATAATATGATTTGGGAATATAGAAATACAACAACAAGCTTTATCCTATTAGTTGTGGTTGGTTACATGGATTATATGATGCCATTGAGTTTTATCATTTATCAAGCTTTTAGGAATGTTGTTAATTAATAAATCTCAGTCAATAACTTCTATAAGTGTTATCTTTGGCCTTCATTTACCCCTCTTAACAAGGCTTAAAATTATTCGTTCCACTCTCCTCATTGGTGCTTTTTGTAATTTTCTTTGTACATGTTCAAACCATCTTAAATGATTTTCTACCATTTTTTCTCAATAGATGCTGCACTTACTTTTTCTTGTATGTACTCATTTTGAATTTTATCTTAACATGTATGTCTGCACATCTATTTCAACATTCTTATTTCTGCTTCTTTAACTTTATGCTCTTGTTGTCTTGTTAAAACTCAACATTCATTACCATATAACATAACTAGTCTTATAGCAATTTGATAAAATTTCCCTTTAAGTTTATTGAGCCCCTTATGATTATAAATAACTTCTTTAACTTTTTTCCAATTAAACCACTCAACTTGTAGCCCATGTGTAATATCCCTAACAATTTTCCCATCATGTTGAATAATAGCTCACAAGTGTCTAAAACTTTTTCATTTAAGGTGTAATTTGATCTCCTAATTTCACTTCCAAATTATCATTGACTAACCTCTTATTAAAATTATAATGCAAATATTCCATCTTACTCCCACTCAAGCAGAAATCTTTTGACTCTAATATCCTTATTCATAACTCAAGTTTATAGTTAATCTTTTCTCTTATCTCTGAATTAGAATTACATCATCCGCAAAAAGCATGCATTTGTGGATTTCCTCTTGAATATGCTTAGTCAAAACATTGAAAACTAGGTCAAATAAATAAGGATTCAAAGATAATCCTATATATAATTCAATTCTTATAGGAAAGTCATTTGTTTTATCATCAGACATTCTTATACTAGTTGTTGCCCACTCATACGTATTTTGTGTAGCTCTAATATAGGCAACCTGGATTTTCTTCTTTTTCAAGGTTTTCCAAAGTACTTTTCTCGGTATACGGTCATAAGTATTTTTCAAAGTAATGAAAACTATATGAAAATCTTTATCTTTACATTGATACTTTGTGAGATGTTCTTGTACTAGTTGATGTGGGAATGTGGAAGTAATATTATCCAATGTTCATAGCAATTGGGTAGAGATGAGTATTAGGGCTTTAGGATGACCCCTTGGCCTGTGATGTTGAAGAAGATATGGATATAGCAACTTCTGGAAGTCTGGCACCCATGTCATGCGTATGACATTTTAAATTGCGTTTAAACACTAGAATATCTCGTCATGTCATGGCGTTCATATCACATTGTGTTCCATATCCATGCCTGTATAATTGCTTTTCGTGGATGGCCTTTAAATTTGAAGCTATAGCTGTAGTCAAATCAAATCTATTGATCACTTTCAAATGTTCTGAATCACTACATGATAACTTTGTTTTGTTTAATTGTCATGATTGAGTTTTGACAATATTTGCAGGAGATTCTTCAAGTTCTGGATGGTACCACTGGTTTGAATATGTTACCACAAGCACGAGAGTTCAATGATGTATATCCACTTGTGCTTTCTCAATTGAATTTTGCCTGAATATTTCTGTTTTAAAGAGATTATTTTACATATTTGAAACCCTTTTGTCACCATATGGAGATCCATGTGGTTCACTTCTTTGGGATGGGTATATGATTTTTGAAGTTAAGGATCTGGATATCAGAGAACGCTTCTTATGCAATGTTTACTGCAATGATCAAAATAATCTAATGGTGCGTCTGGATTAATGAAGATTTTAATTTGGATTTGAATTTGAACTAAATCCCTCATTTGGATATACAAAAAACTATAAATTTGGATTGATTTAAATCAAAATCCATTTTTTATTACTATTCCTTTATAATTTCAAATCCTCTCTACATCCTAGTCATTTGAAATTTCAGTCATTTCAAGCATCTCATTCTCTTCATGTTTTCACTATCGATACCTTTATGTTTCTCGTATCTATTCTCATATTTCATTCTTATTTATCATCAATTAAAAGATAGAGATAAATTCATCATTTTCAATTTTCCATTTTTGTTTCAAATCTTGACTCATTTCTCTTTTTCATTTGAAGTTTTTTAGACTATCCAAACAAAAAATTTTAAATACATAGATTTTAAATATGAGATTTGAAATACAATATTTCAAATTTAAAATCCAAATTCACCAATCCAAACACTACCTAAATGATTTGAGTATGAAATTCCGGTGCTTAAGGATTGTAGCTGGAATATCAACCAGGAAACCATGAAATTTTACAGGTCTATTTGTAGGGGAATGCATGTTTAACTTCCTTCAAACTGCAGCCAAATGAATGTTCTGCCACTTGTATATGCTTTATTTTGAGGGTATGACGATGCTGGTTGTTTATTTTTCTTTGCCTTGATTGTTTCAACTATTCCTGCCAATGTGTCAAGATCTGATACGACTTTTATCTCTGGTTTTATTTAGCTTTAACGGTGATTGTTGCTTTTGACTCTGAATTTGATACAGGTTGTTGGGGTTACTGGTTTAATTTTGACCAAGCTAGATGGTTCTGCCAGAGGTGGCTGTGTGGTAATTTCTTGATATTTTATCTAAATGACATTTCTAATATGCATGGTTGTGGTTCGCAGTAAAGATTTATTACCTTAGTTAATCCATTAAAGTATTCCTTAATGGTATTATTTCTTCTTGTTGGAGTGATCATGGCGAGAAATATGATAGCTATTTCTGATGGCAGGTCAGTGTGGTTGATGAACTTGGAATCCCTGTGAAATTTGTGGGTGTTGGGGAAGGTGTTGAAGACCTTCAACCTTTTGATGCAGAGGCCTTTGTCAATGCTATATTTACGTAATTCAAATATAGGCCTATAGGGTCTGGTGCGTGCATCATATAACTAATTTGTGCTTTACATTATTGTTATTATTATTATATAGAAAATAATAGGGAAAATCACCATGAAGTTCCCCACAACCATTCAAAATACCTGAAGGTCCAATGAAATCCTTAAACAGCTATCAGGTTCCTAGGGACTTAAGGGAGAATAAAATTAAAATAATGATAACCAAGATGTCTATATTATAAGATGCCTTATTGACAACGTAGCAATAGCCGTTCACTATAGGGCAAAAGCTATTAACAAGTAAGGCATCTGCTAGTGACAATTGTAAAAGTGAAGAAGAGTGAATGACTATTGTCAAGTTAGCAACAAGACATCTTTTAACATGAGTTGATCATTGTCATCCGAATCTTATTCATCCCTAAGTCTGTAGGGACCTGACAGCTATTTATAGATTTCATGGGATCTTTGGGTATTTTAAATGGTTGTGGGAGACTTCATGATGATTTTCCCAATTCCTTTACTCTTTGAGAAATACTATCACAAAATTAAGAATAGTACCCTGCGGCACATGATTTTAAATGGAGTTTCTATTTTGTTCTTATGTTTTTGTAGGTTTGCATACAGTCTTGTGGGGTTATTGGTTGAACAAGTTGACTTTAAGGAGGGAAGAATGCAAAGGTGGCACGGGGCAGACAACATTTTAATTGTAGGACTGACCTGCCATGATATTTAGAGCCTGTATATTGAGATTCGAGAGGTATGAGATGCTCTTCATGCCTATGGCTGCAGTTACTTACAATGGGATTTAGAGATTAAGGGAAACATCCCCTTGATTGTAGTGTATATAGACTATTGAGGGAGACTGTAAAATGTAAACAGTAAACTCATGCTTCCTTGTTCATTGTTTGAAATTAAGAGGAACACCCCCTTTTATTGTAGCATTAATATGCTATTCTAATTTAGAACTATTTAATTATCACTTTTGTTGATATCAATTGTGCATGCCTAATTGTTTGACTGAAAAAAAGGGTATTTGAAAACAAGTGTAAAATCCTACTTGTTAAAAGAGTTGAGCTATTATCCTCAATATTATGAGAATTGAACTAGTCAATGAACCAGTTGAGGTATTAGATTATGATTTAATAGTTAGATTGGGGTTAGGTCATGATTGAATCATTTGTAATTAAATGAATATATTTAAATATTATAGAGAAGTATAAATTAGTTTTCTTATTGTTTTTTAAGTTTCAAAATCATTGTGGATATTTTTTGGGAGATGGTGATCGCATTTTTTTAAAGGAAAAAAAGAACTAAATTTGTTTGAAAAGATATGCGGATAAGTATTTGGATGAATATAAATGAACGATATGCTTACATGTAAAGAAACTAGTCATAATTCCGCGCATTGCAAGATTAGGCAAATTTAATAAGATGCAAATTGAAGTAACAACAATAAAGTTTGGAAATTTAAGACCGCAATTTGTTGCACCTGGATAGAAAGGTAATGTTTGATAAGAAATCCAAGCATTCGTTAACAAAAAATTAACTAAATATGCAGTTGAAAAAACAAAGTTACCAAAAAAAAAAAAAAATCTGTGAGCGAAAGTCTATTAAGGAAGCCAACATTGGTAGTTATACTAAGAAACTAAGTTCTGCTTAAAAATCAAGAATTTGTAGCTTGGAGCTGTTGGAAGATCTTATGGAAGACCACATTGCTAATTGTTGTTTGGGCCTCTTTATTATTTTTATGTATTAGTATTCTTAAACCATCCATACTTTTGACTCTAGAACATATAGCTAGTCAAGGGTGAAAATTACTCTTGACAGATAAAGGCTAACATTAGATAGTGATTGACCTTGATTTTTATTTATTGTTGTCATTATAAAAGAAAGTGATTGTGAATTGTCTTCTTTTCATGTGAAAAGATCATCTATTTTCAAAAGAATTTATATCCATTCTATGTGTAAGACCCTTTTGATTTGTGCTTGAACTATTTAATGCCACTGCTTCAATTATGCATTTACGTGTTGTACAAAGATTGGCATGCTTTTTGGTGATTGGAGATTGCCCAATTGGACGTATGGAGATCACTTGCTATGATCCTGAATCTCCCTATCCCCAATCGCACACGAAGCCTCTAGATCATTTTCACCTTTTGGTTTAACGTTGTCTGTGTCTCCGTTTGTCCTTCATGCAATTCTGTAATCTACAAGGGCTAACGTCTTTAACCAAAGAAAGTTGAAGGAGGGGATTTAAAAATAAAAAAAACAGAGGTACCAAATTAAAAATTGAGGAAAATCATTGGCACCAACTTTCTGGTTTTCCCTGTTGTTGTTTGCAAAAGTCCCACATCGCTTGAGTGCTGATGAGAGAGGGATGCTGATATCTATATAATGGAAAGGATGGATGAACTATGACCATGCTCTTCGATGAAAACTTGAATGAATTGTGAGCCTGTGGGGGAGTTTTGAAAGTTATTATATTTTATTTTAGGTACTTTATTTTCCCTAGGTTTATTTAATATTTTACACTTTAATTCACCAGTGTTTGACCAGTTCGTCCTTTTGATGTTGGTTTTTGTTTAATCTGGTAATTTGTGTGTTTCGAGCTGGATTACGTTCTAGTTTTTTGGTTAAACTAGTTCGATCGGCTGGTTTAGTCTAGTTTTCTTAACTTGATCATCCTACATGTCTGGCTTTCGAACCAATTCCCTCTTAAAAAAATAATTCAAAATTGAATAGAAATAAAAAAGAAGAGAAAATGAAGGAGGAGAAAGCCGTCAACAACCGGAAGTGGGTGTAGGAGCCAAAAAGAGAGGAAGAGAGAACTTAAGTACTGTAAGGTTTCCTAATTGATAAAGTCAAGGCTTCTAAACCAATCCTACTTAAAGTTACACAATAGTCTAAAATACTCTTGATTAACACTAGAGTTAATGGATTTCTCTTTCTATATACATAGTTTTACACTACATACAGTTAAACATCAAATGAGATGTAGCATTAAACATAACAAACAAGAATGAGAATCTTTCTTTCTTTCTTTCTTTCTTTCTTTCTTTTCTTTTCTTTTCTTTTCTTTTGTTTTTTTTTTTTGTGTGGAATAAGATGGCAAGCAAAGCTCGAGAAAATAAAGGAGCGAATAGAATTAGACCCTACTGCTCGTGTCTATCAAAGAAACGATGAGAGTTATCTCTAACTATGCCTAAGCAATTAGCAGGTACAAACGAAATCAAAATAGTGTCAATCAAAATAGCATCAAACATAACAAACAAGACTGAGAACCCATTCTAAGTTCAACAGAAACTTCAATGCTCATAACCTGGAAACTGGCAAGTTATAGAAGGAAGCACGAGCAGTATAAGTTAACTTCCCTGTTTTCTTTTGTTTAAACTCAAGTAAAACCACAGTCACGTTTCTCCCACTTTTTACCACTAAGCCATTGACTTGCAACTCCGTCTGCAAACAAATTTAAGCACGAGTATACATCGAGTATGAGAGTCTTCCCTAAGCAATAGTTAGGAAATATGGAGACTCACAAGCATGAACATAGTGACAATACAAACTTTGAAGTGCTTGTGTAACACGTGCAATTCTTTGTTTGGAGTGACTGTGCTTCAAAAGCAATAGTGGCTTATATTTCAAACTCTTTCAAGTTTAAAGAGCCACAATATCAATACGAGACTGTAAGGGATATGACTCGTCAGGCAAAGGCAACTAACCAACATGCATATTGAATCAATAACCATTCAAATTCAAAACCTTTCCTGTAGACTTGTGTTTTATCCACACTTGAAGCAATGGCTTTTGTGTAAAGGGCTAAAGCGTATAACAGAAACCGTTTTTAGACCTTTAGTTAACGACTCAAAGCTTCACTCTTGTTTCAGATCGAGTTTAGGCCAAGTTCCCCATGATAGTATGATGAAACATTATGAAGTATTGAACTCCGTAGTATGACTGATCTACAATACATGATAGGAGCGCAGATAACAATTCAATTCAAAAGAACTCACATTCTGCATGGCGCCAGATAGGCAAGCCAAGGAAATTTCCCCAAGGAAAATTTCCTTATCCTCAACCACAACAGTTCTAGCGCAATCAACGGACACCAATTCAACTACAGCCGCAAGAGCCCCACCATGAAGGGATTTGAAAAATTCTGCAATCCCAATGGAGAAAATGAAAGATCAAATCTTGCAGCTAAGATGAAAATAGCAAGAGTTAATAAACCCATCAGTTTCTTTCCCTCCAAGAGCTGTACATTAATTCGCTAAAATTTTAGGAATACTAGTAATTTTGCAATGCATTTGTTTTTGCAAGGACCTGTTAATATTGAATTCTGAAACACGAAACTTCCTCTCCAATTTTCTCAGCTACCAGTACCACATAGAACATTGAAAGCAATAGTACCCTAAAAAACAAAAAAAGAAAATGGAACAATAGGATAGAATAGGTTACACCAAGAGGAGGTTTGACGGTGAAGGTGCAAGTGATTTGTCCCCTTTGGATATGATCGACCTTGAGACAATTGCGAAGGATGTCGGAGTAGAAGTCGTAGGTATTGCAATTTTGAGGAACAGGCTTGGTGATTCCCATGGCTTTCAGGAAAGATAGCGTCGAAGAAACATACTGGGGTTCCATTTCCTTCGGGAAAAATGTTGAATTTTTGCAGAGCACAAGGTACCCTGGCCGAAGGACGCCAAAGATAAAGAGCAAGACCAGGTCCTTTTTTTTTTTTTGGACCAGAGACCCACGTCCATCTGCTTGTTAAAAAAAAGCATAAAATGAAATTAATTAAAAAATGATTAAAGTATAAGGGAGAATAAATAAACCATATTTATAAAAAAATAATTTACTTTATAAAATTAAAAATCATAATTCATAAAATTTCTAAAAATTATAATGATTTATGTGTTAGTGATATATAATATTGAGTTTTGTCATATTTAATATGAAAGGGAGGTGATTTAATTTATTTTCATTTTAATTTTTTAAATCATTCCATTCCCATTCATTTTACTAAACTCAACCTTTGTTAGTTGTTTTTTTCTTTATTCTCTTCCTGTTGTTGTTATTTTCAAAGAAAAAAAAGCTACTTTTCTTGGCTTTTCAAAATTCAACCATTAAATTATTTTATAAGCAAGCAATTTAAATCGGTTTGTAGGTTGGCTATTTAACTACCAACCCTTTTAATTTTTCTCAATTTATATAAAAGTTAGTAATTTAATCTAACTTATTTTTCACCCAATCTATAGAAGCCAATTCATGTTAATCGGGTGGGCCTATATTTTTATCTCCATTTATTGTTGTCTATTTGTTATTTAAGAAGAAAAAAAAATTCACATCTCTTGGCCAGCCAAAACTTAGCCATTTGAGGTAAGGCATTTTATAAGCAAGCAAGTTATCAGACAAAACGCAGAAATTATAAAGGCCACCATTTACAAAGACAAGCTTGGTGTCCCCCTGTTGTGGCAGAATTAATTGGTATTATACAAGGACTTAGCTTGTGTTGGGAGTAAAATTTCGTCAAAGTGGAAGTCTTTTTAGATTGTTTTGAAGTCATTAACTTAATCACCTAGGATTGTGATATCAATTATCCTTTTAGGGATCTTGTCCTGCAGGTTAGATCCTTCCTTTATAAGGGTGATTAAATTATTTTTTTTAACCATGTTTGTAGGGATTGTAATGGCGACGTGAACTCTTTAGCTAGATTATCTCACTTTTTGGACGTCAACTTTTATGTTTTTGATTATCATCCATGCTTAAATTTAGAGGCAGAAGATAATGAAAGAGGATAGATGGTGTTTTTTTTTTTTTTGTCTTCTTTTTGTTCCTTCCTGCTTCTTTCTTCGGTTGTATGTCTTTTACCTGGTTGATTAATGTATCTCAGTAGTATTAAAAAAAAAAAAGGACAAGCTCTGTTAATTGATCCGTGACACTAACTTGTGAGTTTCAGTAGAGGCTGTAAGCAAGCAAGTCATTAGGTAATGTTATCTATCACTGTTGAATCTACACACAACGAGTAGCTGCAAAATGGGCTGCAGGTCTATCAGCCTAATTAGTAGCAAGATTTGGGCCAAAAGAATATTAAAGACTGATCTGCGTACTACAGGCAGACTTTATCAAGACCACTTGATTGTAGTAGATTCAGCGTAAATGGTGCCTGCTGCAAGAATTTCATGATCTTTCTCTCCTGTGTGTTCAAGCCTTTTCTATTCTCTATTTTTTGTTTTTGGGAATGGATCAAAAACAAATACACTCCCGTCTACACGTACAATATACCTATCCCTCCTTTCACAGAGAAGAATGGCCCTTGTCTCAAAGGAAAAAGTAATACACTCACCAACCACACACATTTATCCCTTACCCGCATGAGAATAAAACTCACAACCTTCCTCTTTCAAGAGGTTGTGGGATGCTATTGAATTAAGAGTTCCTTGACAATGCATGTTCAAGCATTTTGAATTCTCCAGCCTCATTTTTTTTCTTTTTTCTTTTTTAAAAATTATTATCTAAAGATGGTATATTCATAAAAATTACTGTGGCGTTGTTTATACTGATTTAGTTATAAGGCGTTACATTCAGGCCAAAAAGAAATAAGGCACTTCATTCATATAATGTTGGTCTCATTTATACTTTATTACCACATATAGAGACAAGGTTGTTTAAGGGCTTGTTTGGTTTTGTAACTTTTTACTTTTGGGAAGTATTTTTCCATGTGTTTTTAGGATTAGATTGGATTGGTTGGTCCGATTGGTTGAACAAAGAACGGTTATAAGCTCGATCTAGTTGCAATGAAAAATTATTCATTCTAAGAATTGGTTAAGAATTGATTAAACCAATCTCAATCTGATCAAAACTAGTAGATAAACTGATTGAACCTTTCCTACTATTTTTTTAATTTTTCATTTTCTAAAATTTTAATTCATATTTTTAACTAAAATTTATGCATATTTATACCTAATAAGCACTGATAAGTGAAGAAAAATGAACAAAAATGCAAGAAATATGTATATAATATGTATATATGTATATATTTTAAATTTGTAAACAATAAATTATGAAATAAGTATATATGTTTTGGATTAAAATGATGAAATATTAATGGAAATTATATTATATTATATTATTTTATTTTTTAAATTTAAAAATTCATTTTTATATTATATATGAATATTTCATTTTATTTCAAGCATGTATTATTTAAAATATATTAATTTATTTATGACTAATTTATATCACAATTTGACCATTAAATTATGAACTGATATCTTATTTGATTTAATGAGTGGTTTAGTTTTTATAATATTAATAAAATATCTTCAAATCACAAGTATAATTGATACACATTTGAGACGTGGCTGAAAGTCTATCGAGCCAAGGTAACTTATGCTTACTTTTAAACTTGATCAAATGGACTTTTATTTTGCTAGTTGGCAAAACTAGTTGACGTGTACTCATTTAATTCTTTGGCAAATGTTTTTGTTTCCTTGGGAGCAAATGTTTTGATCTAACTTTCTCTTAGGGGAAATTACCATTTTTTTAAAAAAATGATTTGTATTTTATCATAAAAATAATTAAATTTTTATTATTTATTATAAATGTTTTCAAAATAAATTTTTTATATCATTTATATATTTTATTTAAAATTTTATCTTATTTAAAATTTTTATTACTTTTTTAAACATTTTTAATATATTATATTTATATAAAAAAATTACAAATCATCATCAATTAATATTTTTAGTAATTTTTCATTAAAAAATAAATTCCATTATATATAATCCAAATAGTTTTTAGTTTATCAAACTAACTTTTAAATAAATATATCTAAACACAAATTTTATTATAGTTGACTTTTATTAAATTAATTTTTGTTAAATAAATTTTGATAAACTGATTTGAACAATGTAAAATCAAACACGCACTGAATCTAAGAACAAAACAAATCATCTACGTAGGTCTTTTCTTAAGTGTTGATTGTTTTCAGCAACCGGTTGTTGCTACTACCTAGAATGTGCCCATGATTAACTATTCATGCAAATGTCCAGCTAGTCAGGGTTACTACTTAATTCTCTATTGCACAAGTTAGTTGAAGAGTTTGTTTTCTCCTAAATATAAGACCTCGGTTCATTTTGTCTCCCATATTTATCATTTCTCTCTAATCTATTTTTATTAGTGCTCTTTAATCTATCCTCATCCTCATTTCTATTACACTTCGGACATCTTATGTCGTGAAAATACTTTTTTAACTGTTGTTCGAAAATTGCTTTTTGCAGTTCTAGCAATAATTTTAATGCAGTTATGTCACTTTTTTTAATTTATAAAAAAATAATTAACTAACTCTTACATTTAGGTGAGAGGGAGTATAAAGACATGCATCATACATCTCATTGCCTTTATTTATTATTGTTATAGGATGGATGGACACCTAGGAGATTACTATGATGTAGTGCTTTATATTGATTTGGCACGGATTGCAATTATAGTTCACAACTTCACATAATCTTTTTTTTTTTTTTAATACAACAACTTTACATAATGTCATAGCACTAAATTAGCCGCAGGCCTGATAAAATCTAATACCAAAAGGTAGTTGAGTTGATAAGAATTTGACTATTTTTATATTGGGAAAGTATAAACTAGTTTATCGGAATATTACATTATAAACTAGTCTATAAAGTACCTCATAATGCAATAATAGTGTAACACCTGGGGATGTCGGCTCCCGTGTTCACTTCTTGATCGTTCCCTTGTAAATAAAACAAGGGAATCTTTGGATTACCTAATCTTATAAAATAAAATACAACTTAGGGATTTCGAAATTGTCAACCTGAGGTTTATTATATATAGAGGGAGAATAAGAAATGTGGAAAAAAAATTTACGAAATTTTATTGACTGTATTACGTGTCACATTGATATACTACGATTTGAATTTTGAACAACAGGACACAGATCAGACGAAGTCGTATAATGTGTTCCCAATTTATTATTGTCAGTTGTTTACTCACTTTTTTGCTTGTGTTTTAAGAATTCTTTTGTCGTCCAGTTGTTTCGAAATATAAAAAAGGATCAAATATTAAAAATTTGTTTAAACGATATTAAAGAGGAGAACAAAAGAGATGAAATGAAAAATGAAAAAGATAATCGTATTTTAATTTTATGCCATGGGCGCGACCACGTAACAGTTGCGAATTATAGTTGCATTTGAATGTGCCGGCTTTTCAGTTTTGGTCAACGCAATTTTAGTTTAGGGACAGTTCGAAGAGACACGCCATTAATGTTTCCCTCACTAAAGTGGTGAATGGTGATTGATCTTAAAAAAAAAAATCGTTATTAACAGCCAAAATAATGAGTTACAAGTCGATGTCTATGCAAATTTAATGCATAGCCTATATTGAGATTTATTTCTTACCAGCTATTTTCTTTTATATTGCTTGAGTTTGAAAAATGAGTCACAATATTAATAACTTTGTGTGAGTAGTATGATTTTCTATATATCTATATTGATATATATATATATATATATATATATATATTGCTCAACCAAATCAATGCAAACTAACAAAGATATATGAGTTTCATTGGCGATTATCAAGGTAATTGGATAAGAGGTTTTTTCAAATATCTCTACTCTTTTTTTTTTTTGGTTGATACATATGAAGGAAAAGTTAATGTTTCTGATTTTCTTAACACTTTTACACTAATTCAATACAACCTCACCGCCTCGTCGAAACCATAGAGAAGATTATATGCCTCACCATGAGAAATTTGATTATGGCTTTCAATTATTTGTTTAAAAAAGCTTTTTAGATGTGTGGATTGACTTAGTGTATGTTTGGATAAATATTCTAACTAAGATTTGGCACCCAAAACTTCAGTTGGGATGTCAAAAGCTCATTAAAATGCTAAAAAACTTGTTTAGGTGAAAAAATATTGAGATAAGCGTTGAGGACTAAACGTCCGTTCCAACTGAAGTCAGGAAATTAAGCTTTGAGTTTAACGTGCTAGTAGAATAAGTTTTGGATGAAACTTTCTCTCTCCTTTAACCACCTACTCAACCACCCGTGACTCAACTATTTTTTCATTCTCTAGCAAGATATTGCATCCTTCTCATTTAACCATTGTCACCTGTCATTGCCTTCTTCTCTGCTAGCTGCTATCGCCATCCATGGAGGTTGTGGGTTTTGTCAAACCATCGTGCCTAATATTTCTTGTGCATGCCTGCAAGACTAGAGAAGCTCTTCAACCTCTGCTTCTTCTTCGACCTTTTTGTTACTCTCTCACTGCTCTTACCTTCTTTAACCTTTGCCAGTTGTAAGATTTGCTTGTTTTCTCATCAAATTTGTTTGTTTTTTGATGGATTGATTAGAGAGAGAAGGAAGGGGATAAGTCATGAATTCCTCAAGTCTATCTGTTTATTTTTTTTCCCTTCTTTTTGTTTTTTATTTTTTATTTTGGCCAAAAGATAGAGGCTTGATTCAACTTAATTCATCAAGGACCAAAGCCATTAAATTTATAAATTATAAACTAATAATCCAATACCCATTTCTCGGTCTTTATACAGCACACACTTACAATTAATTACTTGTAACCAATTTCTTAACAATTTTAAAATATAAAATTTTATAATTCATCAATTTATTTTAATTTTTTTAGAATTGAATATTTTATAATCTATCAACTTATTCTACCTTTCTAAAATTTAAGATTTTGAATTTGTCAATTTATTTTTTATTTTTAAGGGCTATTCTTAAAAAAACTATAATTTAAAGTTTTGTATTTTTCATTAAAAAGATTAAATTAGTCATAATATAGAGAAAATTCATATCTTTTTTTTCTCATACAAATCTAAACTAGCTTTTGAATCATATCATTTAAATAAATTTCACCTTGTCAAACTAATTTTTTTTAAAAAATTCAGCTTTCATAATTGAATATTTTAAATTTTATAATTTAATTCTACCTTTTTTAAAAATAATATTTTTGATTTATCAGTTTTTTTAATATTTGTAACAAACTTTTTAAATTTTTTTTATTTTTTAATTTAATTTTTCTAAAAATATCAAGGTAGTCACAAAAATATATACAAAAAATTAATATATGTTTTTTGTTATCATACATCCTAATCGACTTTTGAATAAAATCATCCAAACAAATTTAAATTTGCTCAATTGACTATTGAAAAAAGGATATCTAAATATAAATCATATTAAAATCACAAACTTTTCTCCTAACCTCTATTTGCTAATTGCAGTTAATTTTAACTTTATTTATGAATTTTTTTTAATCTAAACACACATTTATTCATTGGGCTCTTAATGACAATTTAGATATTAAGATTTGTTTTTAATGATCCATCACCTAGGTGTTGTTTGTGACTTTAGATATGTCTTGAACATTTTCTCTTTGATGGTTCTGCGTGACCTTTTATTTAAAAATTATAAGAGAAAAGAAAATGAAAGTGTAAGAGGGAGAAAGTGAGAAAGTTATTTCTGTCTTCTCATTACTATCCTTTCCAATATTAATCCAAAGGATTTAGATATGATGAATGTATAGAGGATTTAGATAATTAGTATAGAACATTATTGGATGCTTCTCAGCAATTATTCAGCATGTATGTGTTCAATTATTTTTTTTAAAAAAATAAGCAGTTAATTAAAAAGTTAAAAAAGTTCATAAACAAAAGGTGGCAACTGGTAACATATGAAGGGCTAGAGACTAGCCAGGTGACTGCGGTTGCATATATAAAGGCCAATCACTTGGGAATATGCAAATGAGATCGCGTTTCGTGAAGTTCGAAATAAAAAAGCAACTTATTTTAGTGTCAGAGAGAAAGAGAGAGTGAGAGGAAGAGATAAATAATTAAAGATCTCTGTAATCATTCACGAACTCTGTTCTCCATCTCCACCTGCCAGAACCGTGTCTGCATTGGTCGCCAGGTTGCTCTTTTTTTCTCAGAAGGTGATTAATTAACTGCGATTTTCTTTCTGGGTCTCGTCATGTTCAATTCGGTTCTTAGCATCTTAATTAACAGAATCACCGGGCTCCAGTATCATGGTGCCATTAAATTCTTTTCTTCGTCCCAAACGAAGGTGCTTGTTAATTGCTAGCTTTCTTTATAACTTGCAGGTTTCATAATTGTGAAAAGAATGAAGAAACAGATTTTCATACCATGGTGGTTTGGAATCAAGACTATGCAACTCTGCTTCTTGCTGGCTAGTTCTTCTGATGACAACATGTCAGATAGGTCCTCCTCCTCCTCTCTGTTTTTCTGTTTTTTTTTAATCTATTGCTTTTGTGTGTGTGTGTGTGTGGGGGGGGGGGGAGAGAGAGAGAGAGTTAAAGTTAAGATACTCTGTATAGATGTTACTGCTATGTGAGGGGCTTCCGTAAGTGTATATGTGTATATGTATATATATATATATAAGGCAAAGAATCACGGTTCCTTGTCTTATGTGTTGTGGTTTCTTTTCACATGCACGAGAAGTTTTGAAATTCAAGGTGCTTTAATTTATAATCTTTTTAATTGCGATATGTTTCAATTGGATATTATGAATCTTGATGCTTTTCACTTGTCCATCTTTACGGTTAATTACGACATTTCACAAATTAGCCAATAAGGCGTCTTTTGCATCTTCATCATCTCTCTGCAACATCTGACTCTTCCTTAGCTTCTTCACATGCCTCCTGTCCTGTCAACACGATCACATGCATAATTACTTGTAACTTGTTGGCGTGAAGAAGCATAAGCAAACTTTGAACGTATGGTTGTTCATGATCAACAGTGGTGCGGTTAAGCTAAATGCAGAAGATCCACAGCAACTGGTCATTGACAATGGCATCGTCCAACTCACTCTGTCTACACCCCAAGGCTATGTTATTGGAATCTCATACCATGGAATCGATAACGTCCTCGAATCTCGTCACGCACTACATGACAGAGGGTTCCTATTTCCACACCTTGTTCCTTTAAATAACATTTTCTACATTGTAAATAATGTGCAGACAATTAAGCCTTTAAAGGTTAAGAATTTCTGTGTTCTCGTTGGCAGGTATTTTGATGTTGTTTGGAATGAACCAGGAAAGAATAGTATTGCTCAAAGGTACGCATATGATAATAATGTTTGCTCTCTCATTAATTTACGTAACCACACGGTGCAAGCTCATTGCGCCGAACTCATTATTGAAAAGATTATGTTATCATATGACAATAATATAAAACCACGTACTGCAGAATCAATGGGACCCATTTTTCAATTGTAGCATCGGACGAGAGCCAAGTGGAGGTTTCGTTTGTAAGAACGTGGACTTCGTCCATGGAAGGCACTGATGTGCCCTTTAACATAGACCAAAGGTGGACTATTATATTGCTCTTAGTTTTTCTGCTTTCATACCACTGCAAGAACAGACAGACGTATGTATTACATATTTAATTTATACGTTCGATTTTTCAGGTATGTATTGAGACGAGGAAGCTCTGGATTTTACCATTATATGATATTCAAGCGTCCTCAAGGATTTCCTGCTGTGGAGGTTGATCAATTTAGGACTGTCTACAAACTCCAAGAGCACAGGTAAATTACAGTAAAAATGATAACAACACTCAACAAGGCGACAGACACGGGATTTTCATGTGATTTTCGCCTCTTTTGATGCCTCTTATAGAACTTGATTTAACCCAATACATGGGCTTGGAAGAAGATGATCTGGACTATGAAAGAAGGAATCTTCTAATTCACGGGATGAGTTTAAAACTTAAAGCTGTTGCTGTTGCAGCAGTATGTGACAACAGAATGAACTAATAATTAAAATTTAATGATGGGGTCTCCCAAAGAAAAAATGATGGCAAAGTCTCGAGCTAGGTTCAACCCAGAGATGGTGACGTACCTCACTAAAAGACAATAATTTTGAAATTGCTTAATAAGTCTAGGCGTAGGAAATCAGCAATAGCATGAAAAACATTACCTGTATAGGCTTGGACTGTCTTTTTAGAATGATTTTAGGAAGTGGGTCGGGGGGGGGGGGGAATCGTTGGATATCAGAGAGAAAGGCTTCAATAATAACATGAATGCCATAGAAAAAAAAGATACTAATGAGAGATGTCTCTGTATAAGTTGTACTTATCTTCTTTTATCAAGTTTATCAGGTTTATATATACACATAGGAGTCACAGGATTGAATTTAGAATGATTACATACTGTACAGGTTTCATTATATGGCTATATCAGACAACAGGCAAAGATTCATGCCTACCATGGAAGATAGAGAGAGCGGGCAAGTCCTAGCTTATCCTGAAGCTGTTCTCTTGACCCAGCCATCCAACAAAGACTTTAAAGGAGAGGTACCCGCTTCCTGTATATATATTTATAATTTTTTATTTATCTACGCCGCGTTGTTTTACAAGATATATGTAGGCGGCTTACAGTACTGTAATTAGAATTTAATTTTGGTTAAAAAAAAAAGAATTTAATTAGTTGTTTGCGCAGGCCCACTTGATTATGATATGAATTAATCCGATCATCATTAATAACATGAACATTACTGTTTGTTTGGACTTGATATAAAACTCCCGTGAACAATATTGAGCGTGGTGGGTTCAGGTGGACGACAAATATCAGTACTCTTGTGAGAACAAAGACAACAGAGTCCATGGTTGGATTAGTTTTGATCCTGATGCACCTGTAGGCTTCTGGATGATAACACCTAGCAACGAGTTTCGCAATGGTGGCCCCACTAAGCAAGACCTCACCTCTCACGTGGGCCCCATTACCCTTTCGGTAAGAGAAACAAAAGACCGGTAACTTTTGACTTTGAAAGCGGCTTTCTAATATTGATCTTCCACCTTTTATCTTCCTTTTTTGTTCTACTGTACTACATAAACTGACACTGTAACTTCACACAGAATTCCGTATCTACCGAGAATAAAGGATAAATCAAAATTAAAATAAAATGATACCACCAAACACTAGAACAAGTTTAATTTCCGCATTTGATTTTGTTACATTTGTGTGATGTTTAGATGTTTGTGAGCACTCACTATGCTGGGAAAGAGGTAAGGATGGCATTCCAAGAAGGGGAGACCTATAAGAAGGTTTTTGGCCCTGTTTTTGTGTATCTTAACTCTCTTTCAGGCAACAAGGATCCACGGACGCTTTGGCCAGATGCAGTGCAACAGGTAATCACTTAATTATCAATTGTCCTTCAGTTGTGTTAATTATTTGTCATCATAAAATCAAACAATTCTATTTCTTTGTTTGATTCAATTAGATGTATAAGGAAGCCCAAAGCTGGCCTCATGATTTCCCACAGTCACGAGACTTCATTCAATCCACTCAACGTGGAAGGGTGGTTGGAAGATTACTAGTACAAGATCGGTATATCAGAGGAGGAAAACTTCTATATGCTAAATCTGCTTATGTTGGTCTAGCTCTACCCGGTGATGAAGGATCGTGGCAAAGAGAAAGCAAGGTAAGGTCCCCCCCCCCAACCCCCAACTAGTCTTCCTATTATTGTAAAAGTTAAGACCTATGTGTCACACTGTGTCCATATTTTTCTGTAGTTGCATGAACTGCTTGGTTCTAAAAAAAAAAAAAATCGTTATCATATTTGCAGCAGGATTTATTCACTTTGAGCTCCATGTATTCATCTATATGTCATCCATAGGGCTATCAGTTTTGGACAGAAGCTGATAACAAGGGCTATTTCATGATTAAGAATGTGATACCAGGGCACTACAACTTGTTTGCATGGGTTCCTGGCTTTATTGGTGATTACAAATATAATAATATAATCACTATCACGCCAGGTACGACATTGTGTTCATTTTTCCTTCTGGGTTTATTTGATCGATCGAAACCCTAATTTCAAAACTTGCTAATTATGTTCACTACTTCTTAATAGGGTGTTTAATCAAATTGGATTCACTCGTATTTAGTCCTCCAAGAAATGGTCCTACCCTTTGGGAAATTGGAGTTCCAGATCGCTCAGCCGCAGAATTCTTTATCCCAGACCCCAACCCTAAATTCATCAACAAATTATACAATAAACAGCCTAAAGACAAGTTAGAAACCATGACCCACTTATAGTTGCTATCAATACGTACGCATGCTTTCTTTCCCTTTTATGCAGATTGTATTTGTTTCTTTGACACAGGTTTAGGCAATATGGACTATGGGAAAGTTATGCTGATTTATATCCACATAATGATCTAGTTTACACTGTTGGTGTTGATAAGTATGATCGAGACTGGTTTTTTGCTCATGTTACAAGGTAATTTAAACGATATTGATTGTTCAACTTTTTGATATTTACTTTAATATATTTTGTGCCAATTACACTTGAACTTCAAAACGTATATATAGGAGAATAGGAAATGGAGTATACCAACCAACGACATGGCAAATTATATTTGAACTTGAAAATGATGCATTCCGTGGAAGTTATACTCTACAATTAGCCCTAGCATCTGCCACGCATTCTCAATTGCAGGTATTACAGCACCAGCTAACACATGTTTCTTTGGTAATGAATAGATCAGATATATGAATGAGCATAATTTGGGGAGGTACTATGTATATATTGCAGGTTTGGCTGAATGAACAAGGCGATAATCGTGGCGTATTTGAAAGAGTAGATATAGGAGGAGATAATGCAATAGCAAGGCATGGAATCCATGGATTATATTGGCTGTTCAGCATTGATGTTCCGAGCGATCGTTTAGTGAAAGGGAAAAATATTTTCTACTTTAGACAGTCAAATGCCACTAATCCTTTTCAGGGCCTCATGTATGACTATATGCGTTTAGAAAGACCTCCAACTCTCTAAGGGTTTGATTATTGAGTTCACACACAATAAATCAATAATTACATGTACTGTGCTTTGATTCTCAGTTTCATCGATCTCTTCTTAGCAATGGCTTTAAAACCACCAAATACAACCAAAAAAAAAAAAAACCAATCAACTATATATAATAGTGGTTTTTGAAATCTGCTACCAAAATGGCCATTAATGTCGTAGAAAATTTTAAAAAATTTGAAAGTTACGTTCTCAAGCCAAATACATCACTAATTCATTAGAGCCGTCTCCTAAAACGCGCATCTTCTTTAAGAAGATCTTAGTTATTCTCCTCACACCATTTCTCACGATTTTCTACTCCTCCCTTCTTCTTCACCTCAAGTTGGTGGATAAGGTCGATAAGCCAGACGCGGAGATTATTGAAAATTGCCATTAACGGAGATTCATCTCATTAAAAAAATTGAAGACTTTTTTTCATACACCAGTGTTTTTTATCACACACATAAATATATACATGAATTAATGCATTTAATTCTTTCTAGATTTTGGAGTATATTTTTATTGAATGTATTTTTTTTTCTATATTTGAATAAAAGCCATGCATGTGTACATGGAGCATGTATCTTTATAGATATCAAGCATTTAGTCTTCTGCATATGAAGACATTAAGTTAATTAGATTCATGTATCTAACAGGAAATTTAAAATTTATAATTATTTTATCTCTTTTTGCTCGTCGACGAAATATGGGCTACATCCAATTAATAATGTCATATGAGGTATAATGATTGTTTGGTGCCAAAAAAAGAAAAGAAGTGTGAAGATTATATGAACTAATTATTAAAAAAAACAAAATTTACTAAAGATCTGCTTTTAAAGAATTATATAATTATATAAATATTCAATCCCAAAAAAATTGTATAAATATAATAAATGCAAATTTTATATGATATGACTATTTTAGATGTCATAAGCTGCATATTGCTTGCAAGGAGATTTTTAAACTTTTTACTCATCCTCTTTAAAAAATGAAACGGCTTAATTACACATGAGTCAATTTATCCCGAATATATATAATTTTATTACATTTTACATTTCTAAATTTTGTATTGATCGAGTCTCAACTAATTTGAATAAACTAAATAAACCTATTAAGAGGAGCACAACTCTCTCATTTTTTGAACTTTTTTAATTCAGAAAATTAAGATTCTAGGAATTAAATCTTTATGCATCTTACTAATTAGTGACTTATTATGTCTTTATATAACATAATTCTCGTATTATATATAGTAGGCTCAAGCGACTAATCCTTCACAAGCGTCTGTTCCATCGGTGCTACTAGCAGTCTTGCTTTGATCTGCAACTCCTTCACTACAAATCACAAAATCTTAGAAACGAGGTATGTATATAACTTCCCAACAATTTTTATCTTTCTTTTATATTCCATCTTAATATTTTTCATTAAAAAAATTGAGTCATCAATCATTTACATATACAAGTTATGTGGTAAAGTTAACCCAGAATAACTTACACCAAAACCCTAAATAAACAAGGTGTAGAAATAATTTCAAATATTAACATCTCTTAATTGCATCATCTAAGTAATTTTCAGGACAATAGTGTATCCTCTGGGTCGATTCTGCATAAAGTTTTCGAAACACACGCACGCACGCACGAGTAAATTAATGTGGTATTACTTATTGTATTCATCAACCACCCACGCTTATTGTAATGATTGATTTCTGCTGCTTCAATTGTTTTTATCATTAATTGCACCCAGCATTTGACTATGGGGAAGAACAACAAATCATCCAAGAGTGATTGGAAGGACATGAGCTATGACGTGTTGTTGAGAATCTTCATGACCCTCAATGTGGTGGATTTCGCTGCTGTTTCCTTAGTGTGCAGCTCCTGGCGAGATGTTTGCCAAGACGCTTTGTTTTGGGATGGAAAAGTGTTAGATCTTACCAAGTGGAAAGATCCACGATTGTCCAATTTAAGTTCAAGGCTAATTTCACTCCTCAAGTGCCTTCTAAATCTCAGCAGCGGCCGAGTGGACTGTCTTATATTCAAGTTTCAAATATATCTCGACGATCGGGAATTCAATAATATTGCTAAAAAGTAACATGTTTCATGTCTTTCTTCACACTGCTTCGTTAAGCCTTGGATTTCAAACTTATTATATGATTACTGATGCATGCAGTGATCCATATCATTTGAAGCCATGTTAACATAACCTTTGATGCATTATCATCATTTTGTCTCGATCTCTGCATAAATAATTAACCTTTCCGCAGTATAAACAGAAAAACCATAAATGTTGACCAAACATGTCTCTCTCACATTCTGAAAGTGCTAATCAATGCTCTGATTAACTGAGCTCTTTTGATTTCTTGACACGTAGAAGCCTTAATCTGAAACGGCTAGTTCTGCCTGCGTGGTTCCCAGATCTCTCAAAAAAGGGAATCGACCAAGCCATGCAGCAATGGGAAGGGCTAGAGTCCTTGACGATCACTAACAATTATCTAGCTCCTCATTTCCTGGAAAGCATAGGCAAATACTGCAACAACCTGCGCGAGCTAAAGCTGACTTGCCATCTGACCATTAAGATTGCGAGAATACTGACGAAGAACGTGCCCAACCTGAAAGTATTGAGCCTTCAATCCGTGAGGGTGAACAAGAATGCTTTGCTTCACGTGGTGAAGAAGTTGAAGGAGTTGAAGGTTCTGAATCTGACGCACAGTTTCGTGGTTTCGGGGAATCGTACAGAAAACATGGTGGTGTACCCAAAACATGTGGTTCAGAGTATGATGGAGAACATGCCTAGAAAGCCAAGGTTTCTGAAGTGTAAAGGCTTCTGTGTTAAGTGTCAAGAAGTGTTTATTTGGAATATGATGAACAAGTGGAAGGAACCCAAGGAGATAGTTTGGCGCAACGATAAGATACCTTCGCTTCGAGTTTGAAGTGGGAAAATCAAATCTTATACTTTGCCAACTTTTCTGTACAAGCTGCTTGTTTCATGTAATAGGCTTCTTCAAAATTAAGACTTATAAACTATGTAGTATGTACAAAAAGTAATCATCAATAATGCAGCTTGTTCCTAAAATTCTGTGCAATGTGCGACATAGTTCCCAAAAAAGTTTATGCGTTGTTATAATCAATTCTTCTAGTTAGAAGTAACAAATATTACATATATTGTTAAATCTCTAGCACATAATCACCTTCACTAACTTCTAAATGAGCTGGTTATTTCTTGCAAACAACTTTTCCTATATATATATATATATATATTATATATTATATATTATTTTTATAATATAATTTTCTTCTCCTAGCATTTTAGATAAAATGAATAGATATTTCAGCATTTAAATGAGATAGAAATTATCAAATATTTTGAGATTGACATTACTTTAGTGATATAAAATTTCAATCATGATTTGACCCAAAGCCCAAGGATTGCATTTTGGGGCGCGAAATTTTGGTTGAAGACTAAAATTTTTTCCCCAAAAAATAGAGAATAATATATATATATATATATATATATAGAGAGAGAGAGAGAGAGAGAGAGAGAGAAGCCAATAACGGTTAATAATGTCAAAATTAAGTATTCATTAAAATCCATGTATGCTTCAGTGTTAATGTGCGCGGAGCGCCCCTCATCATGCAAATTATAAAATTCTAATTCTAGTCAAAATGGCCACATACAATTAACATGAGTCACTCACGACGGTTTGCTGCGTGAAAGGTTTGGAATGGGTTCGATGGCTCCATGATGACCAAAACTTCAAATTTTGAGATTTATCACATTTTAAGAATTATGGTAATAAAATGAAGTAGTATTGCTTTCAATTAAATTAGGTGACAAAAGAAGTAACTTTCTTTATTTTTAATTAATTAAAGAAACAGCTAAATTTAATTTTACCTTCAGAGTATAGATAATAATCCCTAAATTAAGCAACACCGTGCCTGATCTTAGCTGTCATCAATTGCTTATGAATCGCTCCCAAGAAAATTTAAATTTGTTTTTCTTTAGTCACAAATTATCCTGTATCTAATAGTATTATTGAGTAATTTAAATTCATACATTATCACACCCAAAATGGGGGATGGGTGTCTCAGGGCATGATTTTCCTATTCATGGAGCTAGAATAGTCTTAAGTAAGCTTGAATTAGGATTGCCTAAAGTGTTTTTTTGTGAAGTGATGAAGAGAGATGTAAAAACCCAGCAGCGGCTTCCTTTCTATGGGACCACATTTTAACTTTTAATTGACTCGAGAATCCATGTCAGGTGTCTAAGTCATCCCATTTTTAACCCTTTTGTGGTCAGCTATGCGTCGATTTATTACGAATTTAATTATATGCATGCAATTGTTGAGTAAGATTGAAATAGACGAGTGGACCATGAGCTGTTTAAGCCACAAGTATTAACACAAGTCCCAAGTCGTCGAACGTTACAAATTAGTGGAGACAAGGTCTCAATACTGTGAGGTTTAGACACCAGGCATCTCTGTCATTGATCCATGCTTCGGCTTTTCTCTCTTGGACTTCTTCATATTTAGCTAGTAGATTTGGAAGAGACTGCCAGTCGGTTCTTATCAGAAGTGAGGTATCAACGTTTATTGCTTTTCTTTCCCATTTTTTCATGTACTAATTACTATTGCCTCTTGAAATTATCGGATAAATCTCAATAGCAAAACAAAACAGAAAAGCTAAATAAGGTGAACTCCATGACTTTTTATTGGTCCAGGAACTCTTAGCTTATCGTGGGTTGATTGATTTCTTGTTTTCCTCATGAATTCTCCGAACATAAGCGTTCTTTTTCGATCCGCAACCGCATTGTTTTTAAGAGAGCTTATTGGATTTCTAATCCCTAGCCATTTTTATCATTTTCATTAAGAAAATAAAAGTTTTCGAAATCCAAGGATATATGACGGGTTGGAATTCATCTCATCTTTTGAATATTAAATGTGCTAATTGGTAGAGTTTAATTAATTGCACCGAGTAGCTTAAAACCAAAACCCTAGATAAAATCAGTACTTCTCCATTGCTTTAATTAAGTAAGAACCTTTAAAATTATATTTGTTCATCCTCACACTGAAAATTTTGGCTGGCCAGGTCAAAAACTTCAAGCTAACCAGCAATAATTTTGGTTGTTAGAAATGTCTAAATACGTTATATAGAAAATTAGGAATTGACTCTCGAGTTATCTCCTGATTGCATTCTGTACCTGGGCGGCCGAATTATTAAAGGCCTGTTCTTTCTTTCTTTCTTTCTTTCCCCCAGCAGCTAGAATTTATGAGTGAGCTTCTTCATATACATCAGAAGATAAATTACGTTCTATATGTATTTTAAGAGGAGCTCATTTTCGTTTTATTACACTAATTAGTGTCTTGTAATCTCCACTTCAAAGTTACTGCAGCTTCATTTGTTTCCATCTTGCAGGAAATATTTGAACTAGAGCAATACATGGAGAACAGCAAATCAGTTACGAGACATTGGAGCAACATGGACTGCGACATCCGGTTGAAAATCTTCATGACACTCAATGTGGCGGATTTCACCGCTGTTTCTTTGGTCTGTCCCTCTTGGCGAAAAGCTTGCCCAGGATCCTATCTTTTGAGATGGCAAAGTGTTTGATCTTAGTGATATGATCTTATACTCAGCTAGAAATTTACCATTTGAATCTAATGATTCTTCCGGTGAACCACGACCGTCCAATTCAGACTCATTCAGTTCTTGAAGCGCGCTTTGGACCTCAGCTGTGGCACAATAAGTTGCTTTATATTCAATTTTCTTCAATCTATAAATGATGAGGACTTAATATTAGCCGCTGAAAGGCAATATATTCTCATCATAACTTAGTTTCCTCTTCATATTTTGTTATATATCTTGAAGTTTATAATGAGTGAGGAGTTTTATATGGCTCTAAGCTTGCTATTTGGATATCTAGCTATTGGATGCCTAGTACGTACCTTTATTTTTTCTGGTATATGTTCTGCGAATGCTAAGAAATGAAGGATCTTATAGAATTCCCAAAAAATCTTCCATTTCTTTCTGAAGCATATTATCGCATGCATCTTGAGAATAAACAGGACAATGAAGAATGTCCAGAAATGCATTTAGAGGATCGTTCTGACGCTACCTCTGTTCATTGCATTTTAAAAAATGAAGGATATCCCGATAAAGAATCAATCTTTCTTTTTGATTGATCAATGTGTGATATTTTGAATTTTCATTAGTAATGAATCGAAATGTTTTGGATTGATAAGAAGATTCTTTCAATTAGCTAGAACACGTACCTTACTTGAATGAAATTAAATGCAAGCTAGCTATCACATTAGCAAAAACTGGTAGAGAAACAAGATATTGAACCTACCTTTTGTTACAAAAATAGAATGCTAACTCTCTAAATGCACTACTCTCTCTTTCTTGTAGGAGTAGGGCAAAACTAAAAAGATATGTCCTTCCAAGATGGAACATTCAACTTACAAAAATGGGACTCCATCAAGAAATGAAGCTATGGAGAGGGCTAGAGTCCTTGACAATCCCAGACATTTGAATAGCTTACAACATTCTGGAAGCCATAGATGAACACTGCAGCAACTTTTCAGAACTCAAAGTAACCTGTGATTTCAGCATAAATTTCGCAAGAGCCTTGATCGAGCATGTTCCAAAGCTCGAGATACTGAGCCTTCAGTCCATACTGGTGAGTAAAGATGCTCTGGTTCTTGTGGCAGACCATTTGAAAGACTAGGAGGTCCTCAACGTCTCTGAAAGTTTTGTTGTTAGGCTCACTGATGATGGAACCAACATCACAATATACACCCAACATGACGTGCCCATGATGGTGCAGAACAATATGTCTCGAATCCCAACGTCAATAACATGTGAAGGCCTCTGTGGAGTGTGCCTCAAAGTGTTGGAGTGGAATATCAGTATTACTGAGGAATGGAAGAACCCTAAAGAAGAGGTTTGGCGTGATGATAAGGCATCCACTCTTCGATTTTGAAGTAAAAAGTATTATGTATGTATTGCTAATCATATCTCAATATATCATGTAATGACAACTTAATTAATTAACCTACTTACATCTACATTGGCGGTTATTAATTAGCAGCAAATTAATAACTGTCTAATCTATATCCTTACAATATCTTAATATATGAAGGCATTTAAAAAATTAAAGCTAATTTTAGTATCCGGCACTAATACATAAAAAGTTTTTTATACTACGATTTTACGCCAATTAAATAGGAGTATAAAAAGTGTGATGGATGATGTTTTTATAAATACGTTACTATGATAATAAACTATAACTTCTACACTAGTTTTAAAATTAACCAGGGTAGAAAGTGTTGCTATTTTTAATTTTTTTTTAACTTTATGCATATATTAAAATCATATTTTAACCCGGTTATTTACGCATCAGTTTCTAGAGTTGACGTAGAAAGTCCTTTTTAGCTTATCTAAAACATCCTTCTAGTACTATATGATGACGATAAAATTGTTAGAGAGATTGACTTAATTTTTTATGTGGAATAAAATTTCACTGTCGAGAGCAAAAATTGGTCTAGTCAAATTTAGAATGAAATGTAATTTAGTGTTCGACTTTTGTGAGATTGCTACTCAAACGCAAAAGCAAATTTATTTGGTGTTCATTTCTTGTGTTATAGAGAATGACTTCAAGTAACTTAATATGCCCTTTTTAAGTCACAAGATAGCGTCGCTGAAGCTTGACTTTAAATAATTAAACTATTTTGTTGATTATTTTATTTTATACAATAAAAGTTTAGATAAATTGAATCTTGAGGGTTCATTAGAGTCAGGGCATATTTTCAAATTTAAGAAATGCTTACAGAGATACTATTTATAAATCATCTATCAATAAAATTATCACATTGGTAATGAAATTTTTTTGTTATTGTTTTAGCCATATGTTATTAGAAACCCTACTATTTATTTAAATCAATATCTTATTTGGCGTTAATGTAAAAAAACCATGATGATGTACACTAACTAGTAATTTCTTATCAAAAAAGCCACATAAAATCATTAATGAATATATAAGGTTCAATGAATGGATAGCAAAACTTCCAAATTTTCAAATTATCAAATAAAACACCATGATTTTTAACCAAAAATGAAAATAAGTATCCAATTTTGAAGTGTATATAATAAATTCCAAATTTATATATCATGGAGAGGCGCATATTAATATATATATATATATATATATTAAATTTTATAATGTATAAATCATAAATAATACAACTCATAGTAACCTCTTTAATTTTGGTTTTATTATATTCCATATTGACTAATTACTAATTTACTACATTTTTATCCACATTTGGTCAGACCTGGATATTTCTTACCGGAGAGAATCATCTCCCAGATTTGTATATATCCCCACTGTGGCAGACCCAATAAACCTCTCTCAGAAGCAAACAAATTAAAGACAGCAGGGCATGACTTGCCGAAGTGTCCAATATCTAGGAGTGTTCACGAGACGGAACGGGACCGGGACACCCCCATCCCATGTCCTGTCCCGAAAAAATGATCGGGACTGAATTTTGGTCCCGTGTCCCGTCCCGTCCCGTTAAGAGTCGAGACGGGATCGGGACGTCCCGCCGTCCCGATAAATGAAACAATATCGAAAAAAGATTTGGATAATAATTTCATTAAAATTTTAAATTATATAATTTATTAAGTTTAAAATCAAAATAACACAAGTACATAAATAAAAATAATTTAAAATCAATTATTGAATTATATTAATCACAACTACATATTATAATAAAAAATGCAAGTGATCTTTATACTATAAAATTAGCAACAACAGGCAAGTCAAATACAACATTAAATAATTGTTCTTTTACTTTAGTGAAGATATACTAAGTTAATTACTCTTCTAAAAATAAGCAAGAAGTATGTTATAAATAAAAGTTATTAAATAGATAGATATAAGAATAAATTATATTAATATAATTAATATATTATAAAAAAGATATGGCCATGTTTACTCCATGCCATTAAAATTATCAATATAAAAACACTTTAATTTTAAATAAGAATTATAAGTATTAAAATTATAATTGATATAATTAATATAAGTATAAATTATATTAATATAATTAATATATTTAAAATAAAAAATAATATATATAATATTCGGGACGGGACGAGACGGGACGTCCCGATAGTAATCCTATGTCCCGTCCCATCCCGAACCACTTTCCTGTCCCGTCCCGTAAAGTCTCGTCCCGATTATTTTCGGGCCGGGACAAGACCCGTCCCGATATAATCAGGATGATATCAGACCAATTGGGACGGGTCCAGATTGAACACCCCTACCAATATCTACTCATTTCACATATCGATGAACGTTACAAACAGATTGGAGGTTTCATCATTAATTTTGAAGCTTGCTTAGACTCCATCTACTTCATCACTGCTTCAGATTTTCTCTCTGCAACTTCATATATATCCAAGGGGTACAAGAAAGAGACCATCAATCCGAAATTCTTAGTAGCGAGGTTAGTATAATTATTATAACCTCTGAAGAATTTTCTGTTCTGCTCTCTTTTTCATGTATCTCTTCCCTCTCTTCCACAAAAGTTTCTGAATAATTTCAAGAGCAAGAGGAATTGAAACAAAGGAAAAACTAGAAACACTAGAATGAATTCCATAACATGTGGTTAATAACCTTTGATCTCTAATTAGCTGATGATTTAATTATAATTAATGGCTAATCACACTCTTCAGCTCCCTCATGGATTCCCTAATCGAATGATCTTTCTGTAATTTTTGCGAAGAACCTGATGCGCGCCTTTTAATTTCCTGGAGCTTATCATCAATTGGTATTCTATGCCCTAACCCTTTTTACTTTTGCTTTCTTGCGATAAACCTGAGGATGACGGGATAGATCAATTCCACTCATGTTTTACATATTTAAGCGCGCGCATTTGGTAAAGGTTACTTGAAAAAATTTATAATACCTGAAAACAAGCAATTGTGAAATCAGTGGTTTAATTTACTGTCATTTCTTTTGTTTCTCCTATAGAAAATTCAAGCTGCGTCAAAAGCTTCAAGAAAACTAGACCCATCAACTTTGCTAAAAAAATAATTTTAACTAATGCCGGCAAGAATTTCAATTTTTCTAAATTGCATCTCTCAGTTGATTCTCTAGACGATTGTGTATTTACTGGATCGATTCCATTTAAAAAGTCTTCCAGATAATGGTTGATTATGTCAATAAAAATTGTAATAATTGATCAACTAGATATTGCTTCATTTGCTTTTATAATTGATGACCAACAATATGAGTAAATATTCGATCGAGTTGTCGTTTTATATCGTATTCATCAATCACATATATTGTAGAAACAATAAGGCCAGCTAGAGTTACATTGCGTGGATGAAAGTTTTTTTTTTTTTTGGTAATGATTGATTTTTTCTGCTTCATATCATTGCAGATAGCATTTGAATATGGGGAAGAGCAACAAATCATGTATCAGACAATGGAAAGACATGGACTATGAAGTGTTAATGAGAATCTTCATGACCCTCAATTTGGTGGATTTCGTTGCTGTTTCTTGGGTGTGTAGCTCCTGGCGAAAAGTTTGCCAAGATCATGTGTTTTGGAATAGAGAAGTGTTAGATCTTAGCAAGCTGACTCCGCAATTCGTCTTATCAACTTCAAGGATGATTCCGTTCTTGAAGTATGTTTTATATCTCAGTGGCGGCAAAATAGGTTCTCTCATACTCAATCGTCTACCTCTGAGAGATCGTATCTTGATTAATGTTGCCAAAAGGTAGTGTTTTTTCATAACTCTCTTTAAATTGCTTATAGTCTTGGATTTTAAAATTTTTGGCTTGTTATGATTCTAGCTATGAAGGGGTTCTAGCATGAAATTATTTTCAAGTCATGTTGACAAATCAAGTAAGGTGCCGAGCTGATGGTGTATAGATATCATTATTTTCTCATCAGATTCTTGCTTTGATCGATCATCAATGCTTCGATCGTTAACAAAATTCTAGTCAGATACTTCTATGCTGGGAACTTCAATGATGATACTTAAGTCTTCATAATGATCCATATTAATACACTGTGTGTGGAGGCGCAAGAATACTAAAAAGTATTCATTTAGATATATGCATAATCAACCTTACACAATCTGTTACACAGATCCCATCGCCATTGGATTTGGATTTGGTAAGTAATCCAACTCCATAGCATTCGCGTGGCATAACAAGTGAACAACAACCATTTGATTTAATTGAATAACTGTAAAAAAGTCATATAATATTCAAAAAGTATTAAATTTCAAATTTTTTGAAGGATAATATATGTGAAGGATACTTTATTGTGAGGATTGTTTTGAATTTTTTTTTTTAAAAAATGTATCTTAATAATTTTCAAGTGTTGATAAAATTCAATGGAATTGAAACATTTATTGAGCAAGTGGCCTTAAGCCTTTTACTGAATCTAATTCCTACCTTTGATTCTCGTGCATGCATACTTTGAAATAGCTAATCATCTAAAAACTCTCATTTTGGTGTAGGAGTCGTAATCTAAAACGGCTTGTTCTACCAGCTGGACGTTACCTGCAACTTACAGAAGCAGGAATAGATAAAGCGATGGAGATGTGGGAAGGGCTAGAGTCCTTCACCATCACTGACAGTGAAATTGCTTTTAGCATTCTGGAAGCCATGGGCAAATATTGCAGAAACATCTCTGAAATTAAGATAACTTGTCATTTTAGCGCGAAGATTGCCATGGCCTTGATGACGTATGTGCCCAGGCTCAAGAGACTGAGTGTTCAGTCAACACGGGTGAACAAAGATGCTCTAGTTAATGTGGTAGACCATTTACAACAATTGGAGATTCTTAATGTTTCTCACAGTTTCATTGTTGGGGGGAATCGTCCAGAGAACATAAGAGTATTCTCACAACAAGAAGTGCCAAACATTCTGGGTGAAGTGTCAAGAATGCCAAGCACAGTAATAAGCTGTGAAATCTTCTGTGCTATGTGCCAGGCCGTGTTGGCTTGGAATATGGCTTATGAAGGGAGGAACCATGACGAAGAAAATTGGCATGATGATGAAATACCATCTCTTCGAGTTTAAATAGCAAGTGAAAGAAAGAAAAAAATCTTATATATATCAAGCAATGAGATCTCACCTATGTCAACTGATATGATATATGAATTAGGTGGTTGTTTAATTTATTCTCGCAAACTACTTTTGTCTATATTTTTATTATATGATCTACAATTTCTTTCATAGCAATTGAATGCTAATTTTTTTAATTATTAAAAAGGATGAAGAATTAGTATTTTAGGTTTTAACATATAAATTTTATTACGTGAAAGTAAAATGTGTGTTGTAAAATTTTAACCACAACACATCTATGCATTGCAACCGAAGAACTTTATTTTTTTTTTTAGGACTAAAAACTGTCCAAAAACAAACAAAAAAAGCTAATAATATATATACATATATATAAGTTAAATTATACTTTTAGTCCTATATTTTTAGTCTCATAACCCTAATAATGTTAATTTCAAATGATTATTTTTGTATAAATCATTGTTTTGTTTACAAAATTAAACTTAATGAGTTAACAGTTAATAATGTTTTGTCAATATTTAAAAGTTTAATGTAAAAATTTTTGAGATAAAACTAATAGTATTAAAGTTAAAATATTGAAAATTCACTTTATAAAATTAAGAAATTAAAATAAAATTTTATATAAAATTAGAAAATTAAAAATATATTTTAGCCTATATAAGTACATAGAGAGGGTCAATCATCCTGCATGTAATCATATCATATGTCACAAGCGAGATGTTTTCGATCCTACATCCATAAATTGTGACTTACGTCAAAAGTCAATAATAGACTAAATATTTAATAATGTCAAAACAAAATTTCATCAACACCACGTCAAATGTACATCTCCCTTTATTTATGAATGAATATCAAAAGATATATTTCTTAGAATTTCTTCCATTCAAAGAAAATATACGTCCCTTGATTCAACGTCGTTCATTTGTTTAATGAATTCAAAGAATACATCTGGTTCATGCATGTTCATTGACATTAAAGAATGCATTCCAAGACCAATGACGGTGCATAGTGCTCTAAAATTGAGGACCGTGGAAGGATATGTGAAAGAAATTTTCGCAAAAGTGGTCTAACTAGCAAAGGTGGAGATGAGACTCGGTGAATTTAAGGGATCCAGATGCAAGATTATCTCTAAATTTGTTGCAGAACAACTGGTGATTTTACCCATTCGGGTGCCTCAATCCTCTATGCATGTTAACTTTTCTAAATCTAATTACATATTGCTATTTGTGGATATGATCTAGTATAAGATAAAGGAAGCCATGCTCTGTCTTTAGTTGTTTTCTTCCTTTGTGTTGCAATGCAATCAGCATGGCTAGAGTCAATTAGTCAATTGAATTAATATACCTCTAGCCATAGAGATTTATGTTGTTTTGAATTCTACTGAATCATGCATGGAATTGAAGTGCTTTATCATTGTAGATTTTAGTTTGAATTATGGGTAAACACTAAACCTTTGTGGCTTTAAGGATCTATTTGGTTTTGTAGCTTTTAACATTCAGGAAGTATTTTGCTACTTTCCAAAAGTCAAATGTTTTTTGGTTTTTAATCTTTTTTAAGAAGTCCATTTTATAAAAGTCCTTTCAAGATGTCATTGAATGTGCTTTTCGTCAACTTAAAATAATGAAGCTTTTGAAAAGTGTGATATTATTTTATCATACTATTCTAAGTTTAATCTCTTATATTTTTATTTAAAAAATAATTAATTCATTAAAAATATAATTATTATTCTAATAATAATAATTAGGTATCAAGTTTTTAGCATTATAAATTGAATCATTAATCATGTTAATTTTTAGCATTAATGTATAATAAAAAGTATGAAACTTTATCACATTTTTTAAAGTTACAAATTAAAAAAGTGCAAATAACTAGAGATCAAGTTTTTAGCATTATAGATCAAATTTTATGTTATGTAAAATCTTTATCACACTTTTTAAATATTTCAAATATATTACATTTGTATAATAAAAAATTATAAATTATTATAAATTAAAGTCTTTTTTAATAATTGTACATTCAAAAGCATACATATTTCACAATCATAAACTAAATAACTTTCGGTGTATCAAATTGACTTTTAAAAAAATATATTTAAATATAAATTTCGTAATAACAACGGACTTTTACCAAACTAATTTTTGCCAAATAAACTTTCATCAAATAAATTTTTGACAAACTAAAAACCAAACACACACTAAGTGATTCTTAAGAATTTTTTCGCTTGCAATAGAAAAGGGAGTGTGCTCTTTGGATTAGGCTATTCACCGTCCACCCCCATTGACTCTCCTTCTAAACCACGATTTTGTGGGCTCTTGGATGCTCTTTTTTGAATAACATGTGAACCATTTGTTTTTTTTTTGTTGGCTTATTTTCTTTGTTGTTTCCTTTTTGTTATTGTTGTTCTTTGGATGGTGTATTGTTGGATTTGTTCTGTTTTCTAATATATAGTGTTCCTCTTTGGCAAAGAAAAAAAAAAAAAGGAATGCATCCCAATTGATTCCATATCTCTAGATACTTTATCAAAAATGTTTTTGACGCGGTTTTTTTCACCACTAACTACATCGACGTTGATAACTTTTTATAGTTGATGCATTTATTGAAATTTGCCTTCATGATTAACGTTTTTCACAATAACAAACCACATCACGTTGAAAAAAAATAAAAATAAATGTGGCAATATAATTAGGCTGATGCAGTGAATATCATTATTTTCTCAATAGCTAAGCTTCAGAATGAGAATTAAGAAACCATGCACGTTGACAATAAAGCATATGAAAGTGCTACAAGGCTTTGAAAGCTCTTGTTCTTGCAGGAGCCTGAATCTGAAATGACTCGTTCTTCCCATATATGCATGGGATCTAAAGCTAACTAAATGGGAATGAATCAGAGGCCCTATGCAAAATGAAACGATATATGGATGAGCTATACATCATCTTATACAGTAGGACTTCCAAGTAATGACAATTCAAAACCGCTGATCATGGTCGATCTTGATCAGGATATTGAAGTAAAACTAGCAAATTAAATATCCTGTCACCTTCGCCAACTTAATTAAATTCTAAAATCTAAAGCTTGTTATTTCATTCATGCATTTTTTGAAATATCGACCAATCAAGTCTTGGGATGAATTTATCTATTTCTCGTATTTTTTTGGGTGACATGGCTCATATCCATAATATTATATATACTTGAATAATAATTTTCATCAATAACACTTGGAAGCTCATGTTACTGAATTTTCTGTACACACATGAAGATGCAGAGCTTAATTTGAAGACGAAATATTTTAATTAATTAGACACTTAGCAGTGCGCACTAAAGCAAAATAAAACGTTATGAAGAAACGAATGTACGGAAAGTAAAGTGAGAATGATCAAAACTTTTTTTTAGGAATAATGTCGTTTTATAATTTCAAAAAAAAAAGATGCAATTGGACTTCACCATTAACTCTAAAAAAAAAAGGCAAATTGACCAGCTAGCATACAGTAAAAAAAATCATTTATCAAAATACTGCACATTCAATAATATTTATCAAGATATTATAAATTTAAAGTTAACTTCATTGACACCAAGTCTACCCTTTGTTTTTCCGTGCCAAAATTGCACAACTTGGTTTGTGTAAGTCCAAATTTTGCATTAACAGTTTTTAAAAAAATGTGTCAGATGTAGTAGGCATTTTTTTTATTGTTTTTATGCACCTCACATTGGTAACTAGCCTAATATCTTCTCACCCTCTTTTTACAAATCACTTACCCTTCCCTTTTATAAGCATCTCCCCAACTTATAGTATTGATAATTTGACCCAACTTGATATGCTATCTTGAATGGTTTTAGTTTGAATATCTAAATTTTTTATTATTAATAAAATAAAATTAAAATTAGATAAAAATTAAAAATATTAATCTTTTAAAAATAAACATTGAAATTGATTATAAAAAATAAAATAATATAATATTTAATGATTTGAATATTTGGACCATTGTAAAATTATAAGAATTAAGTTAAAATAATCAAAATTTAAAAAGTGAATTTAATTAAAATTATAAAAATTGAGTTATAGAGTTCATTTCAACATTATAAATGCTAAATAATAAATTTTTCCTGTAGTATATGCATAAGAGGTGGTGGTGCTGCTTGTAAGAGGGGAGGAGAGTTATTGAGAAAAAGAAAAGGGAGGGAAATGGTTAACTGGGGCAGGCAAAAATAGTAAGAATGCCTGCCACATTTGACAAACAATTTTTTTAATTATTAATATAAAATTTAGTTTCACGCATACTGAATTATATAGTTCTCACACAATAAAACGAAAAAAAAATGCTGAACTTGGTGTCACGGAAGCCAATTTTTAATTTATAATATTTTGGTAAATATTTTTAAAATGGTCCAAATATTCAAATTGTTAAATATTATTTTATTTTATTTTTTATAATCAATTTCAATGTTTATTTTTTAAAAAAATTAAATGCTTTCAATTTTCATCTAATTTTAAGTTTATTTTATTAATAATAAAAATTTTAGATATTTAAACTAAAACCATTCAAGTTAGCCTATCAAGTTGGGCTAAATTATCAACACTAGAAGTGGAGGAAATACTTGTAAAAGGGCAAAGTGAGTGATTGTGAAGAGAGAGTGAGAAAATGTTAGGCCAGTCATCAGTAAGAGGCGTGTAAAGATAATAAAAAATGCCTACTACATTTGACACATTTTTTTAAAATTGTTAGTACAAAATTTGGACTTAAACCGAGTTGTGCTGTTTTGGCATGAAAAAACAAAAAGTAAATTTGGTATCAATGAAGCCAACTTTTGATTTATAATATATTGGTGAATATTATTGAATGTGTAATATTTTGATAAATAATTTTTTTAAAAAAATTATATTGAAATTTCACACGAAAATTAATCACTATAAAATTTCGTGACAATTAATTTAAGAAGATTAATAATTGATTGTGTTCTCAGTCTTTTTAATTTAATTATTAATAAATTTTATAATTATTAATTTTTTTATGTGAGATTTAAATGTAATTCTTTTTTTTTTTAACAGTATGCCATTCAATTTGCCCTAAAAAAAACGTTGACGGTTAAATATTCACTTTGACTAAATACTGACACGTGGTGAGTTTTCATTTGTCATTGCTTTTACGCTTTTCCCTTCTCAGCTACTCTCGTTTGACCCTTCTTCTTTTGTAACATGGCAAGATCCCTTCCTTCATTTTTCATTCGAATTTGAACAACCCACTACCGGATTACAAACAAATATATTTCGAATAAGTCACTAAGATCTAAATTCTCTGGAATTTCGAAACCTGAAAAAGTCACTGCAGTAGCTATCTCTCTCCTCTTCCCCGCTGCTATTATTCACAAGTGTCGGCGATGAGTTCACAGGGTTTGTACTCGATGACGGCGCCGACAAAACAGGGTCATATCCTAGAAATCCAGCTTGGTTTTGTTGCAACAGATCAAGGTTCTTAGCCACACTGGAGGGAACTTGGGAATCTGAAAATCCCATATTCGTCAAATCCCCTGAGAATATCCTTCCACATTGTTGATTTCCATCGGCATGTGAAACTGACTATCGAACTGTGCAGGTGAGGGATCGATTGGGGTTTGTGCCTGAACTTGAGAATTCCCAGGCTGGATTATTCGTTGTAGATTCTGTGAAACCAAGTCCAGGTTTTCGTTCTTCAACGATAACAGAGCGTTGGCCATCTATAACAGTTGTGGGTTCATCAATGCCTGGACTCCCAGCGGAAGAAGGAGAAGCCGAGGGGGAAGGTGAAGTCACTAGAAGATAACCCACTTGAATGTCGAATCAGACTCGAAGAAGGAGATCAGATTCAGAAGGAAGAAGCTACAAGCGTGAATCATGGATGGGCAAACTGAAATCTGCGAGCGTTGGAGTGAGTGAAGGCGATGACGGCTCACGGCGGTGACAATGTGCACTGAAATCGGAGGCAGGAGAAAAGCTCACGCTCGTTTCAGAAAAACTCCTCCACGCAGAGTTTGACCCCTCTTCTCATGATACTGAAGAAGGGTCAAAGCCATGAAAAATTAAACTTGCCACGTGTCAATATTTTAATAGAGGAAAAAAAAACTTAACTGTCGTCCTTTTGAAAATTAACAGTGAGATATAATTGCACTTTTAAGACATTCTTCCCTTTAATCTTAATTCAAATCATCTATAAATAATAACCAAAATTTTAAAAACTTTTACTTATAAATAAATGGGGTAGTACAATTACTGATTTCCCCTGATTTATTCAGGATTTTAAATTTTTTTCTAGTCTTAAAGAGTCATTAAACTCTAATTGATCATATCTCATTATGCTTTAATTATTATTTTTAATTAAAATATAAGATATTGATAATTAATTTATGTGTTTTAAAAAATGTTAGTTGTAACTTTTGAAGGACAAGTACATGCAAAATGTCGCCATGTCCGTGTTCGATAGATATCCAACATGGATACACATTTAGGATGCGAAAGCAGCATGTCCAATTTCATTTTCTATCGAACGCGTTCGGACTCAGGGTGGACTCGAGTAGACACGTGCATGTTCGAGTGGATACAGGTTGGACCCAAAACTTTGCATTTTGGGCCTTTTTCCCCCTTTTCTAGAAATCAGATACCCTCTTCTAGATTTCCAGCCAGTCCTTTCCCCCTTCACTCCTAAAGCCGTCGCATCTCGTGTGTGAGCTTCGGGCATTGTCTATCTTTTGTCACGGGCTCACAGCGCTCTGTCTCTTCAACTACTTTAGTGCTTTCGTCACTTTCTCTCTCTGAGTCCGAGGTAAGTTCTTCACCTTCTCCCTCCATGCTTTTGTTCTTCCATTCTAAACTTCTGGTAGTTCTGCGCAGGATGTTAGTGGAAGGATGAATTTTTTTTGAGAGAGAGAGGTTTATGAAAAATTCGACAATCAATAATGTGTTATGCTACGCCATTATGCTAAATCCGGGCTCTGTTCACGTGATTTAATCTTCTAAATATTCGAACAGTACCCTTATTGCTTATTATTAAAAAAAAAAAAAGAAGGAATATTAGAGCTGTAGGAACTTTTTATTGTAAATTGTAGGATATCTGAACTGTACCCCTACTATAGCCCTGCATATTGCGTTGTATTTTGTGGTGGTGTTCGACATCTTAAAATTATATTTTTTGATATTAAATATGAATTTATGAAATTAAAAATATGTGTGTATTTTAATATTTAATATTTAATTATTTATATAGTTATATCAGTATTCTAAAATTTTTAAAAATTGCCATATCTATGTATTGTACCGTATGATATTCGATACTTATAATTATATTGGTACTTCTTTGGTTGCAACCTTAATTTTTTAAAAATATTTATATCATTCAAATTATAATATCATTAAATACCCTATATAAAAACCTTAAAAATATTAATTAAAATTTCAATGATAGTTCAAAAAAAAAATAAAGTAGGGGTATAGTAAAAAAAATAATTATAAAAATTACTTAATATCCTATATTTTGAATTAAGTAAAGTTTTTAAAAAATATCTTATATTATACTTCGAAAGAAGTATGTCTTTAAAAATATTAATAAATGTTTGGATTAATTTTTTTTTAAACAAAAGAGCAATTATATTGAGAAATAAAATGGAAATACAAATTCAAAGGTTTCAAAACTTAAGAGTAAAAACAGAAATAGAAGAAAACATTATGTGGCTGGAGATGTTTGGATTAACTAAGTCGTGAAGCATGGCACACAACTTTCATAATATCATTATTTTGGACTTTTCATTTTTCAGGTATAGAAGTCTGTTAAGTTTTAGCATAACCTGATTTTGTTATATTCTTGCACATTTTATTTTAAAGTTTGTTTAAATAACTCTCAAAGACACGTTTAAATTATGTTTATGATATATTTTTATCAAATTTAATAAATAATTGAATCTTTAAATAAACTTTTATTAAATGTAACTGACAAATCCGTATTTAATGATCAATTCAAAAAAGAATCTTGTAATTAGCCCAAAAAGGAAAAGGAAAAAGGAAATTTAGTAAGTACACAGGCATAACATGACAAAATTTTATCCAATCGACGTATTAACCCTTTTTTTTTTTTTAATTTGATAGCATCGGAAAGGATTGACCTTACAAATAAAAAAGTACATCTCATAAAAAAAAATACATTATTTATAATTCATATTAAACTAATATGCTTCATTTTAAAAAAAAAAACCTGTGCTAATTGCAAAAAGGAAAGAAAAAGCCTCTTCTTGTCTCAGGGACCCCCAGTCCAATTAATATGAATATCATCTGATAAATTTATATAAACCATATATCATTTATTACTTATTTATTACAATTTATTATAATTACATTACCACTGCATTCTAAAAGGCTTGAGCTACAGAGCAACCTGGCCGAAGAAAAATCCAGTGTAAAGTGCGATGTGCCTTTGAAAGTTTGGTGCCAATCAATTCCTCTCTGGTTCTTTCGTCTTCACACTGGACGGAGCCTGGCGTTTCTCTTTAGTTGCAGTATTTCAAAACAGAAGAGTGGAACAGAACCCACTGAAACGACCTTCCTCGTTTTGCTTTCCGGAATTTCTTCCATACTCTTTGTATCATCAACCTCAGCTTCGCGTATTGCGAGAATTACAAGGTAAACGTTGCCAATTTGTTTCAGATTTTGTTCTCGTTTCCTTAAAAATTTCTATGGGATGTTCTCGAAAGTGGACTATTGATGCTGCTCGTTTTTTAGCAAGAAAAATTACATGAACTCAATTGTATTTGGGCTGCGGAGCATGCGACAAAATGTTGTTCCTTAAATATCTTTTGGCCAATGCCATTCCTTAATTAAGTGTATGATTTTGAAGTCTGTTTCATCATTCTTCCTGTTCTCTCGTGCGCCAAACATATCATTATTCAGTCATAGCATTAGCCTTCTTTTGTGGGCTCGGTTTATCTTTACTCACAAATCAGTGCACGCTCTCCGCATTGAAAGCGTGATTTTTTTTTTTTGTGGTTGATTGTCACAATTTTTTTTTTTAAGCGTCACAAGGATTCGTGATGATGTGGACATGTGGTAAGTCGAGGTTGCACAGGAAATTTTCCTGTGGCTGTTTTCTTTTGCTATTTTAATGCAAGTTATTTGTAATTCAATACCCAGAATAATTTATTGCTTTTGTTTTTGGTATTTAAAACATTTGGAAGTACTGGTGTGTGTTAGAAATCAATGTTTTTTCAGTATAAGCTTTTATACGGTTTGGTTTACTATGCTGTATGTTCATGTGCTGCGACGCATTGAAGTCCTAGGTGATTCCAATTTTCTAACCTTCTCTGGTTTTCACATGTCTCAACTGGTTAGTATTTGACAAGATGTTCATAGGTCACGCTGACGCTTTATCAGAAATGAAGTCATTGAAGGATCAGATAGTTGCGGACCCTATATCTGAACAAAGTGATGATGAAGATGAAGATTCTGTGGAACAGATAATTTATACAGCCTCCTTTCAAGAACTTGCGAGAAATAGCATTCAATATGACACTGTAATATGGCTCTCTGTTTCGCTGTTACTGATATTGGCTTGGGGAGTTGGACTTATTATGTTGCTTTACCTCCCCCTTAGGAGATATGTTCTTCAAAAGGATTTATCTTCTCGTGAATTGTATGTCACCCCTACTGAAATAGTTTACAAGGTATGTCAGAACTTCTGTATGATCATGAGGCTTTTAGCATACAATTTCTTGGAATGAAGAGCAACAGTGAAGTGATTTTCTTTTCCTTTTCTTCCTTGATCAAGGTGTCAAGGCCTTCCTTCATACCCTTTTGTGGTATTGTTACAATTGAGAAGCACGTACCTCTTGCTCTGGTGATTGATATTATTATTGAGCAAGGTACTGATACTGGCCTCACCCATTTGTTTTGCATTTTATATCAAGTGGCTGAAAGATGAATGGTTTCTTACATAAAAAGACTTGCATTTATCTTCTGGTTTTGTTGCTTGAGACATGTCCTTATGAAATTCATCATTTCTCATACTTGCCAAGAATCCTGTAGGGTTCTGTTATATGTTACTGCTTTATTTAAGGGCTTTCTTGTCTTTATGCATGATTTTATTACTGCCTCTTTATCTGTTGCTGAATGTTAGAAAAGTATTGACAGTGTAGGACCTTACACGTGTTTAGGTTTAGGGTATATGTGCTGTGCCCTGCCTCTTTGATCATTTATAAATGGAATAGTCTCTTTCTTCCTCCTTTCTTCTCTCCTCTCTTTCTCTCTTATCAGGTTCATTATGCACAAGCTTTTTGCCTTTCTGGTCTGACTGGGAGGACAATTATGAATGCTTTTCTCAATTATAAATTTGAAATCTAGCTCAGGTTAACAATGACATAAGGTTTATCCTTTTTATTGCTTCAAAAGTTAAGGTAATGGTTTGCCTTAAAAAAATTTGTTTTGAAATCCTTCATAGCAGGAGGAGGTTTTATTGGCAAAAGAATACAAAAGTTGAGCGAATAGACATAGTGAAATATGCAATTCTAACCTCATCTAATTGATATTTTGTGGTGTGGTATCTCCCAATAGACTCCCTTTGATTAGAACACATCACTGCTTATACCAGGTTGCCTGCAGTCTAAATATGGAGTTCATACTTTTCGAGTTGAAAGCATAGCCCATGGAAAAGCCGCACCTGTTGATGAGCTTCAAGTTCAAGGGGTTTCTGACCCTGATATATTGAAAAAGGTTAATCAAGATATGTTTCTCAATATAATTTTCTCTTTTATTATATATATATATATATATATGTATGTTTGCGGCTGACTTATTTATAATGAATGTCTTTGCTAAATAGGGCTCATCATATTACGTTGTATTGATTCTTATTACATTATTTCACATTATACTACTAAATTACTAACAGAGGATGAAAAAGATCACCTTCTCAAAATATTTCAGTTGATTTACAGGTGATCATGACAGCAGCTTCAAATATCTCACAAGATGGAAGGACAAGTTCAAAACCAATTGCTCAGAGTGTAGATGTGGAAACATTGACTGAGGGATCAGTTGTTTTCAGATCACCATCTAAATCTCTGAAGGTAATGGCAGACCTACTGGCATGCCTAATTTACCTATTGTTTATCAAACTAATTCTATCAATATATCACCCAGGACACACCCCCAAAACACAGGAAAAATAAAACTCCAGTAATGGTAACTAAAGGCATGGAAGGATATAATTGGGAAAGTGATCACTAAAACTTTAAAAATCTTGTAAAAAAGCAAAGTTTCAGTATATTTTAAGTTCTCGTAAAAATCTTGTAAAACATTAAAAATCCCCCCTTTTGGATGACAAGTTTGTGGCTTGTCCTTTAAGGAAGCACACTTGAAGTCTTTCGCAAATTGTTTGAGTTAAAGAGGTCTAATCAGAAGAAGGTGCACGAGCAGTTTTGTGAGTTCGGTATAGACAAGGCAAATTGGGGATTTTTGCTCTAGAGGATCGAATGTATGGATATATTGTACCCTTTTATGAATTTCTTGAATGTTGTTTGTTTCGGTCAGCATCATTATAACCTTAAAGCTAATGAGCATGAATAGAACTAACTGTGGTTTATTTTATTTTGGCAACAAGAACTTGTATTAGTACGTAAAAAAAAAAAAAAAACACTGCCTTTGTGTATGTTTAACTAATACAACAACAATAAGAAGCCTTATTTCACTAGTTGGGGTTGGCTACATGGTTTATATGACACTATTGTGCTCTATCATTTATTAAGTTTTTGGGAATATTATTAATTAAAAGGTCTCGTTCAATAATTTCCAAAAGTGTTCTTTTCGGTCTTCTTCTACCTTTCTTGACAGGACTCAAAGTTATTTATTCCACTCTCCTCACAGGTGCCTCCCGTGGTCTTCTTTCTACATGTTTGAACCACCTTAAATGATTTTTTTAACATTTTTTCTTCAATAGGTGCCACACCTTTTTTTTTTCTGTATTTGCTCATTTTGAATTTTGTCTTTATGTGTATATCCGCACATCCATCTCAACATTCTCATCTCTACTATTTCAACTTTATGCTCTTGCTATCCTGTCAAAATGCAACATTCACTACCATATAAAATTGCTGATTTTATAGCAGTTCGATAAAACTTTCCTTTAAGCTTTTCAGGTACCTTACGATCGCAAATAACTCCTTTAGTCTTTCTCCAATTAAACTACCCCGCTTGTATCCTATATATAATATCTCCATCAATGTCTCCATTTTGTTGAATAATCACTGTCAAATATCTAAACTTTTTCACTTGAGGTATGGTCTAATCACTCAATTTTACTTTCAAATTACTATTCATTGACCCCTTATCAAAATTACAATGTAAATATTCTGTTTTATTCTTACTCAGACGGAAACCTTTTGACTCCAATGTCTTCATCTATAACTCAAGTTTACAATTTATCTCTTTTCTTGTGCCTGCAATAAGAACCATATCATCTACAAAAAGCATGCATTTAGGAATTTTGTCTTTAATATGCTCAGTCAAAACATCTAATACTGGATTAAACAAATAAGGACTCAAAGATGATCCTTAATGCAATCCAATCTTTATAGGAAAATCTTTTGTTTCACCACCAAGCGGTGGTATACTAGTTGTTTCCTCCTCATACATATCTTGTATAGCTCGAATATAGGCAACCTAGACACCTTTCTTTTCCAAAGCCTTCCAAAGTACTTTTCTCAGTACACGATTATAAGCTTTTTCCAAGTTAATAAAAACCATACGTAAAACTTTGTTGAATCACACATGGATATAGACAATAGACGTTTTTGTATGTTTAACTAATATTTCGGTGAATTTGTTTGGCTTTGCTGGGAGCTTATTATTATTATTATTATTATTATTATTATTCTGCTTTGGTTCTTGTGGCGCACAAAAGTAATCACTTATCCTTTAAAGAGGTCCAGACAGAAAGTAATCCAACCATACCCACCAACAGGGAAAAGAAAAATGCCATTTTCTTCTCTGATCGAATTATCATCTCTTCCATCCCAAAAAATATGATTGATTTATCAAAAAATTGGATTCTTGAATTATTAACGTGTTAAAACTTAAAGTTTACTTAGATCTGTTTCTTGGGAGGAATCCAGATTATTTGAAGAACAAGAAACCTTCGACCCTGCAGATCTTCAAGCACTATCAATGTGTCAAACAACTCAAAACTTGAGAGCAAAGTATTAGAAGACAATAATATATTATTTTCCTTATTATTTAGTTAATTTATCGAAGTAGCTTATAAAATTTGTGACTTAATGATTAGATGATAGCTCAGAATTTGTTGACTGGCATTGATAGAGTTGGAAACTGTTACCAAATTATATTTTTGTTAGAAGAATGATGACTTCTTTTCTTTTCTTTTTTTAAATTCTGATATATTGTTATTGGTCATCAGATTGAACTAGAATTATATGCATTGCTTAAATTTCTTAAAAAAAAAAACAATTTTTCATTCTCTTCCATATAATGCAGATGATGAGCCCACCTCAATCTGCTTCGCGAGAACCAAGGGCACCTAGTAGAATGGTGCTCAATAGACTTGAAGAAATCAATAGATCAGTAAAGGTTTGTATGTTATCTTTCTTGGGTATGGTGATTTATATTGAACTCTTTATATGTTTATTTCTCTCCCTGATAAATGGTGCTTAATAGACTTGAAGAAATCAATAGATCAGTAAAGGTTTGTATGTTATCTTTCTTGGGTATGGTGATTTATATTGAACTCTTTATATGTTTATTTCTCTCCCTGATACCTTTAAATGCAGATAACATATTTCAACATAAGGCAAACAAATTTTGGTAGTTTCATCTTGTTCCCTGCCCTAGATAATTGTTTTATTTCCTTGGAATTTTTTTTTTTTTAATGCTTTGATCAATCATTGACTCTAATTTCATGGTACGATCACTCTCAATGGGTGGATTAATCTCTCTCTTTTTGATTAATTATGTTTTTGTTTGAGCATATTTATAAGAATAATTTTCTATTTTGTTTCTACATTTAAATGCTGTTAAGTTGATCCTCCCCTTCTAGTCCTAGTCAATGCGCTGCTACCAAAATCAACCAAATGTGTGACTAGTACCATTAACGATAATATCATTTGACCATTGACCACACTTTGCAACATTTCATTTGTCTCCCTTGCTGGTCAAAGCCCTCCATATGGTCAAAATTAGTATCCCTTTGCAACATTGACTACACTAGGCATCTCATGACACACTTGATATCACTACTTTTGATGACCCACTTTTAGGATGTAAAATCTTGTTAAGTTCTGGCATGGCTTAATTTTGCTTGCACGATTTTTTGTGGCCATCAATTAAAGAACCTCCATATGGAGACTTTTCCGAGGCTTCTAATCACTAGCTATGATACAAATTGATGGGTACCAAAAGGAGATGGGAACTTTTTCCCAAGAGCTAATTATTGAGACGAGAGAAGCAATCCACCTAAATATCTTGTAGACTAGCCCCTACTACTCAATGTGAGATTTGGCATCTCATATTATATTGATCTCCATCAGTATTTGGTAGAAGCACATGGAATGAAAGAGGCGGTAACTTTATCACGGTTGGAAGACTGATTTGTTTTTATCTTAGCTTTTTCAAGAAACAACTTGAGAATGACCCCTCTAGTGAGGGGGGAAAAAATAGGATTGACTCATTCATATTTTGGCGGACAAGATAATCAGTTGGTCAGTAATCAAGGTGTTAGTGACATGCACGAGATACTTTTGATAATGCCACAGCAACGTTTGCATATCTAGCGACATTTATGTCCAATGCTTAGGTATTATCATTCATACTTTAACTGCCTTTTCTTCCTTCTAATTTAGCTATCTTCATGAACAGAGGCTTGAGCTGTATTTTGAGAAGTCATATGCTCCCCCTGAAAGCAGCTGAATTAAGAATCCCTTGGTTAATGACTTCATGCGGCTGGAATTTCAAATTATATGTACTTCATCTGTTGCTACTCTTGACTTTTCTGTATAGAATCCTGCATGATATCTGTAGCCATGGATATGATTGGGTTTTTCTCTGGTGGAAAGTTCTTTCTTCAAATGATGATGCACTTTACATTGTCTTAGCTGAACTGTATTTTGGATGATTGATGAGATTTATTAACCAAATATGAAATTACATTCAGACTTTGTATATTCTGAAACGGTCAGTATTCAGAAGTCATAGCATAGTCCAACTCAAGTTGGGAAGGATTATAAGGGTAGTCAAACTCTTCCACAAGTGAATTTTAGGATTCAATTTATTGGCCTATCACTGTGGCACCTTTTTATTATTATTATTATTATTATTAACAATAAGCAAAAGCAAGCGTACTTATGTGCATAAAAAGCATAAATGTTTAAGAAGCTTTTCTATTGATGTATGCATAATAAGTGGTGTGAAGCCGACACCAACTCGTTGAATTGGTTGGCTCAAAATTCAAAATCAAATTGCCTTGAATTTGAATATGAGTAGCGGAATTGCAAATGGGATAAGGAGATACGTACGTTTGGCTGATAATTTTTTTTTTCCCCGGATAAAGTTTGGCTAATAATTTTCCCATCCTTAAAGATCAATATGCCATGGTTTATTTGATTCTTTTTCCACTTATTTGGTTCATTTTCCACTTAATATCATGAGGTACTTTTACGTAAATTATATTTTCAATGAATTAGTTAATTATTTTTAAAATTATACATTTTTTTCATGATTATCTCATTTTATAAAATGCATCAATTATAAAAATTTATTAATTATACTATCTAATTAAGGATATTTTTTTAAAAAAATTACTAATTGCATCTTGAAATATCTAAAATGTTTTATATTTTTAATATCTTATCATAAAAAAATGCCTTTTATTTTTTATAGGAGAGATATTTCGCATATAAGTATATTTTAAAAATAAAAATAGATCTTTTTTATTAATTTATAATATTCATGAATTTGTTAATCAAAATAAAATTACATTAATCAAGTCTCTTTTTTTGGAGCGAATTGTTTTGCAAGTCTTTAGGAAAATAGAACATATATCTCTATGATTTTTAGATTAGATACTTATTTAATAGGCATTACTCTTGACTTACTATTTAAGTTATCTATAGAAAAGTTTCATTATAATGTACTATAGCGATTATTTATTATTTATTATTTCTATAGCAATTATTTATTATTTATTTATCTAATTTTATATTTGTTAATATTTCGTATTCATTTTTCTGTTATTTCAGGACAGATATTCGAAATTGGATTCCTTTTGGGGTCATTTTTGACGGCAATCCCCGTGACTCGTGGGAAACACTGGACAAGCTTCTGATAGTGATGGAAAGCTCTCGTTATGTAGAGACATTTCCCCCGACAAAATTTCACAGACTGAAATTCGAGGAAGGAGATGAGGAAGGAGAAGGTTCTCATAGTGGGAGGCACTGGATATTTAGGTCAGCATCTGTTACAAGGCTATGCAGAAATCAACGAAAGACCTTACGATCTGGCATTCACCCAGCACTCCTCTCTCCCACCTCAAGTTTTGTTGGACGCCATTTCTGGTTCACTTGCTTTCCCCGTAGATTTGAAATCGGGAAGCGGATTTGAAGCCATTTCAAATACATTTGGTCAGGTTTAGTTGTCAACGCCCCACCCAACAGCTTAAACTCCTTTCTTTTTCGGTTGTGTTTGGTCTCATGTCTTCTGTCTAACTTGGAATAAAGAAATAGTTTTTTTTTTTTTTTACGATGAAGTTTTTGGCTTTTTGACATTGCTAGCCAGTGAGGAGCTCTTGATTCATTTTGTTAATGTTGAATGCTTCACTGGATTTGAGTGCAGGAGAACAATAATAGATTGTAGCTAAAATACTTCATCATCTCATAGTATAAAGCGTGTGAAAATTGCACATTGACTTGTTTCTTTCTACTACTGACAATTCTGTTTATCTAATTTTTCCCCCTAATGGCAGCCTGATGTTGTTGTCAATTGTGCTGCCATCTCAGTGCCTCGTGCTTGTGAAATTGATCCTGATGCTGCTCTTGCTATCAATGTTCCATCATCTCTTGTTAAATGGTTGAAAAGCTTTAACGAGAAAAGCACCCTTCTAATTCATCTGTCCTCTGATCAAGGTATGCGAAGGGTGACATCAGATGTGTACATATGTTAAATGCAAAAGATATGGAAGTTTTAGCCCAATCGAAACTCACTAAACAAGAATAGACCTTCCTAGAATTTGCTAAAGCACTATCTTTGTTTGGATTTATATTTTACATATCTCAAAACGAATGGAATGACTGCTACCCTAACAGAATAAATGCCACATGGACAGTGCTTGAGTTCCTTGCAGAAGCATTTCTTTGAATTCTACTAGGTTGACCTAAATGCTTTTTCCATTACCCTGATAATCTCTCCTTTTTTGTACTGTATTACCTAAATCTGTTGAGAACCTATTCTGTGCGCTTGAGGACTCATCTAACTTGTAGAAGCCAGTGCGATCTCTACCACCAGTGTTGGTAATGCTCCTTGCAATAATAATTCCTGCCAAAATGACTTTTGAAGAGTGGGCTTCCATTTTTGCAAATGAGTCTTATTTCATCAGCTGCATATGATACATGCTATATTACTGTCAAGGGCTTTATTGTAATTAACTTTAGCTAAAGGCTGAGTGTTACCTTTAGAGTTAGTTAGAAGAGAGAGAATAACCTTAGTGACTTGTTATGGGCTAGGGTATATGGTTGTACCTAGTGCCATTTTTCCCTTTTTGTGAATGAATCAGCTTTCTTTCTCTCTTCGCTCATATCAGCATATGCTAGGAAATGGGAGTGAATAAATTTAATAGATACAATATTGATGCCCCTGCCTCTGTTCTGTCTTCTCTTTTCTTCTCTTGTTCCAAGGTTTATTGTTCTTAACTTTAATATGTGCTTATGATTTACTTTCTTTTATCCGTTTGCAATATTAAGAGATAAGATCTTTTTTGCTACTTGTTCATGCATACTTCACATGTTATCCCTGTAATCCATTTACACGTTGCTTTTTTGACTATATTGTGGTTGATGTTTCTCCTTGTCAGTTTATGAAGGGGAGAAGTCCTTTTACAAGGAGGATGACATTGCTGTTCCAGTAAATGTTTATGGAAAAACTAAAGTGGCAGCAGAAGAACTCATTTCAAAACAGTGTTCGAACTTCACAATTTTAAGAAGCAGTATCATCTATGGGCCACAGACAATCTCTCCAGTTCCAAAATCTCTTCCTATTCAGGTGCATGCATTGTGTGTGGACTTTGTAGTGTATTCTATTTTGACTAAGTAATGGTTCCAGCCTCTGGCTAATGGATGAAACAAATGAAAAACAAATTGCATATAAATGTTTTTGCTGATTTTGTGTTTTCCTAGTGGCTTTTTTTCTCTATAGAAGATTACAAGACTTATGATTTCCATGTCTAGGTTAAAATAATAATGCATACTATATAGTCTTATATGGGTGTTCGAAAATGCTGGAGATATGGGTGCATGTTCTTATGAAAGACCTGCCTAAAAGGAAACCCATGATGCCTTGATGTGTTATTTATACATTATATTTAACTGATGTAGTGGCTGGATGGTGTCCTGGCCAAAGGTGAAAAGGTGAATTTCTTTCATGATGAGTTCCGTTGCCCCATTTATGTTAAGGATCTCGTAACTATCATTCTAGCTTTGACAAGCCAATGGATATCAGGTAGAACTTTAGAATTCATGCCTTATTGGTGTTATATATTGCAAATTTATTTTTGTAATTTGTGTGTCCTTTGGCATACGAGAACCCAATTTGCTATGTAGTATTTTTGTTATTGCCAAATGCAATTTAGAATGCTATTCTGGATATGTTATAGCAGGAAACTGATAGACTCTACTTTGCTGAAAAAACCTACAAGAGGAAACATAGGACAATACAAGAAAAGGGAAAGCATCTTTCTAAGGGGCAGAATGTTGACCTTGCTCACCTTACTCTCAAGGAGAAAGCTAGGCAGACTTAGTGTTGACTCAGGGTGGTTTTAGGTCTGCCTTAGTAGAAAGTCGTGTGGGAAGCTCTGCATGTTGCTTTTTGAGTTATAGTAGTTGCTAGTGTCATTTTGGAGAGTCAAGTGATATTTTGTATTTTTGCTAGGAGAAGAGACTGGCTTTTGAAAATCAGGGCATGCTTAGACAGCATTGCATGTGTTCTTGTTCCTCAGTTGCTGTTTGAGTATTTTGGTTGTAACAGGGAATAGGGTTTGTTCTGAATCAGTGAAGTACCTTTGTAACACTGATTTAATCTTTTGGAATCATTAATATCAAACCTCAGGATTTCCCTTGATTTGTTGGCTGTTTATTGTCAGTATTTCTGCATTCTTATTTGTTGAACAGCAAAGTTGCATCAGAAACATACCTGCTTATGTGTTTTTTTGGCCCTTATGGCTGAAACTCAGATTTGAGATTTTATAATATTTTGTAAAGCTCATTACCTGACATCTGTTCCTTTTTTTCCTTTCCTGAAGCACTTTCAGATTTTGTCACGTTTCTGTTTCCTACTCTTTCACTTTCTTGTTTTGTTTAGTCCAGTTTAAGAAGCTGAGGCATCTCTCATCTATGTTCATGAAGATGGCATTTCTGATTCTTTCTGCAGAGAACAAGCAAATGCAATTGGTACTTAATGCTGGTGGACCTGATAGGATATCGCGTGTGCAAATGGCTGAGGCTGTTGCACAATATCGAGGGTATGACACCTCATTAATCCAACCATTGTCTGCATCTTCAGTAAGTATTGTATTTACTTGATGAAACAGTTATGTGGTTCGTGTGATGCAGAATTGTTAAATATCTTTATTTATCTGCATTAACGATGTCCTATGCAACTATTAACCTCCCTTTTTCTCATGCCATGTTCATAACTGAATCCTCATTTCATGTCTTCATATCAAGGTGTCTTCTTCCTTAGTTAGGCATCTGAGAACATTTTAGCTCGTCATGATTTTACTTCTCTCTTTTGATTTTCCTTTGATGGTTAGAATCTGAGAGAGAAAAATTCTCACTCCTTATCCAACCAACTAGAACAAGGAGTCAAGGAAGGCTTTTTTCATTGGCTTGTGTGAACACCATCATCACTGCCTAAAATACCCAGCTGGATGAGTTTGCATTGATTCGTTACATTAGTATGCAAGAAATTCTAATGTGGATGAAGGGGCTGTGTCAAACAGATTTATTTGAAGTTTTATAGGTTTTCACCGTTAGTTTGTTAAAATGCCAAAACAATAATTTTTTTAATAAAATCTAGTCATTTTTACTGAATGGCTAATAGCAAGCAGTCAACTTATAGCTGAGTTCTATTCGTTATTCTGTGAGACTTGTTGGAATGCGCTTTCGTCAGGTTTATTGTTTATAAGTTTTCTCCCCTTATTTTCAGGTTGATCGTGGAGTGAGGTGCCCAGCTGACATATCCATGGATATAACTAGATTGGTCGAGATCCTGAAAATTCATCCAGTTTCATTTAAAGAAGGGGTTAGATTAACACTTGCGGCTGAGGCTAAATAGTGAGGAAACAAAGACGTCAAATATTGCTACATTGTTAGCATGATTGGCGTCACCCTTCTGTGGAAATGAACAAAGGTTAATCAATTAAAAGAGATTGGTATGCTAAATAGTTCATATAGTTGTTTGTAAAGTTAAAATGAACGGTCAAATTACAATAATGCATAATGCAAATGATTTCTAGACGGATTGTGTGGGGGAAGTAGCTGAGCAATGGTTGATTGCAATAAATTCTTTAATTGGTCAGTGTTGTACGTATGGATTCAGAATGAAATGGTGTGATGTGAAGTTCGAATATTATATGGTCTCTTAGCTCACACACAGATTTCCCCTATTCTAAATATAGGTTGTGAGAAATTTTTAAATAAAATGAGCGTGTCACTTGTAATTTATTCAATAAAAATATGATATTTAAATGGTATTAAATATAAATTAATTTGGATATTAATAATAATAGAAAGATAAAAGTTAAGAAATTAAATGTGTATTTTATTATAAGAATAAAATTAATTAAAAAAAATATCACACAAGATTTTATTTAGTTTACTTAAAATATTTTAATTTGATAGAATATAAATAATGTGATGCATCTAATTTATTTAAATATTTCTTTATAGGTTACCTTCTAAAAGAAATTTGTGATTTTAAGTATCAAGCAATCAATTACGTAATGAAAACATATGCTCTAAAAATTGTAAACTTTGCGTGACCACATAATATGAATTCACATGTTATAGATAAGGTAAATCATGAAGTGGCATTGATGTAATTCGTATCAAAATTGTTTCATCTGACATTATTATTCCGTTTGTTCATCTATAATTATTTAGAATGACAAAAACGTACATGAAATGTGTCATCAATGCCGTGGCATGTATATACATACCTGAAGGATTTCAAAATTTGGAATCGAAACATCTTTTATAATATTTGTATACTTGTGAATTTGAATGGTTTGGGATTCAATGCCCTTGGTCAAAAAAAGAAAAAAGGAATAAACACTAAACATATTTAATAAAATCAATACCCCTTGACTATGTAATCTTACTCCATTTCCAAAATTGGCTTATCATCAAAACGGAACGCTATTAGAACCGATCAAAAACTAGTAAATCAGAAAAATAAATCTAATTTACCAACCTGTTTGTTAAAGAATTTAATATATTTGGGCTTTCATTGCAAAATCGAATCGTGATACCAGCACAATCATTATATACATCTACTATGAAGTTGTAAATGACAAATAATAATTTGCAAATTTCTAAAGTTGGATAAATATTCTTATAAAATTTAATGTTAATTATTTTTAGGGCAAATGGGCAAAAATATTAATTAAGTAATTGGTCAGGATCCCATAGTGTAAAATGAAAAAAATGACAAAAATACTCGTAACATTACTTAAATTAGTGTAAGAGTAACTAAATCATTAATTTGCTCAAACACTGTTAATTGTCAATGTTAAATATTGAGTATGATTGCCATGTGTCAATGTTGACTTCTCTAACTTGTTGATACTTGATATAGACTAAAAAATGGGCAAAAATATTCACAAAAGTCATCAGTCAAGAATATCCAGCCTAAAGTGAAAAAAAGGGGCACGAATACCCATAATATTATTTTAATATGTGCAACAGTGACAAATCCATCAAATTGCTTAAAAGTTGACCTTTTAAATGACACCTAAGTAAAAGTTAATTATTTTGTTTGTTGACGTGGACAAAAAATATTTTCAAATAAAATTTTACGAAAATTCATCAATCATTGTATGATGATAAATCACCACCCGAGGCCCTAGTTTTGATGGCAGAGGTGGCAAAGGAGGCTGATCTAGCTTTTTTCTTCGAGGTGGAACTTTGTTGAGGGCAATCTGCCTTTCTTCTTCAATCATCTCCTTAATTTTGTAAATAAAGGTATAGTGGAAGTAGTAGTGGGCACGACAGAAGTGTGACTAAGGTGATGAAAGAAGAAGAAAGGTAGATTGCCCTCCCATATTGCCTTAGCTGTCAAAACTAAATCTTTAAGTGGAGACTCATTATCATACGATGATCAATTAGCCTTTGCAAAATTTCACTTGATAATATGTTTTGTCCATGTCAGCAAAAAAAGAAAATCAACTTCTACTTAGATGTTAACGAAAAGGTCAACGATTAATAAATTAGATGGATTAATTACTATTACATCTACTAAATCAATATTATGAATATTTATATTCTTTTTCTCATTTTAGGATACTAGATGCTCCGGATCGTGACTTCATGGGTACTTTTTCCCCCATTTAATCTACGTTAGCAAGTTAGAGAAGTCAACATTGACCCATAGCAATCACACTCAACATTTAACATTGGCAATTAATAGAGTTTGAGCGAGTTAATAGTTTAATCACTTTTGTACTAACTTAAGTAATATTATAGGTATTTTTATCTTTTTCTCTTTTTTTAAGTTACTCGATACTCTTGGCCAATCACTTAATGTGTATTTTTGCCTCTCTGCCTTTTATATATATATAATTTTGTTTAAATTGGGAAACTGATATGTAAATTAAGGTAGAAGGAGTTGCAAATTTATAAATTTAAAATTTTATCAAAAATCAATTAAAGACACAAGAGATTTCCTCTATGTTTTAAAATTTTTGGGATTTTACCAAAAGATAAAATAGTCTATTTGGAACTTAAGTATCATTCTCCCTTTGTTTTTTCTCTCTAGTTTCATAGAATCAAAAACTTAATTCCTAAAGTTTGAACTAATTCAATTCAATCTATATAGTTTTAACTTAATTAAAAGTCAATCTTCAAGTTTTAACTCTTGCAACCTAATCCTATAGTTTTATCTATCTAAAATGTTATTCCCCATATTTTTTTTTACTACCTACATGTATCATTCTATTAGAGACAATTTTGTTTGAGGCATTGTCATGCACTAAATATAAAATATAGGCATCTCTCTCAATAAAAAATTCGAACATTAATTTATTACATTATAAGGGAATAGTTTCTTCTATTAACTTGAATAGTTGTTAATTTAGTTTCAATATTTCAGAAAATAAAATTATAAAAAATAGTTATTATTAAAGCTTGGAGATTAATATTTTAAATGACTAAAATTATTAAAATTGAGTTGCACTAAATTAAAGTTGAAAATTTAAGTTACAACTAAGTAAAATTATAAAGATTGAATTATGCTAAATTAAAGTTTAATGATCAAGTTAGAATTGAGTCAGAAGCTTTGATTGTTATGTAAGAGTTAAATCATAAATACATACCCCTTTTTTTTTTTGCCAACGAACCTGTTTTTGATTTTAATCTTGTTCTACCATTATCTTTTTAAATTACATTTTACAAAAAAACAGAAGTAAAACAGACAATGGGAGAGTAAGATGAAAAAACCAAAAAAATGAGAATAATAAATAGCATTTATATTATACCCACCAAGGATTTAAATTTTGCATGACAGATTAACACGTTGATGATTATTTATTTATTTATTTAGTCCCCCCTGGGAGTGGGAGCGGGAAAAAGGGAAAGAAAAAGACAAAAGAAAAAATAAAAAAAGTCTGCCTCGCGGATTCGTATACTCGTTACTCACTGAGCCCCCCAATCTTCCATCTACCCATCCTCGCTGAGTGCGAAGCCTCGTCCTCTACGAGTTGTGGATCCACCGCAGGTACGAGTCTAAATGAATCTAACTCCTTATCCACTTTTTAATTGAATTACATTGTGGGTGCATTTGATGAATGCGCTTGTTATCTAATTAGGGTTTCATTTCCCTGATCCTTACGACGGAAGAAAGAGAAAAGATAATCAGAAACGATGGGAGGTGGAGCTGATCACGGGCACGGGCACGGAGAACCACATGGGGATTTCAGGAACAAGGTTTGGAGTATGTCTGGTGGCCCTTATTGTCGCCCCAAGCACTGGAAGCGCAACACTGCCATCGCAATGTTTGGTGTCTTCCTCATCTGTATTCCCATCGCCATGAAATCTGCCGAGCTTGAGGTCTGCCGTTTTTATTTGTCTTTCATTTAGTGTTAGTCGTTCTGGTGATTGTTTGACCTATGTGCCTCCTTGTCGAGATCTTGTGTTACGAACCACATATATTAAAATATAACCAGCAGAAGAAATTTTACGCATTTCAGGGGACGGTCAGAGTTTCGGATGAATAATTCTTTTACTAATTGAGGGGACTAAGGAGGTTCATACTAATCAAAACAGTAATGATGTATGGAGTAACTTTTGTTCATACAAACTATAATTTAATTAGCGCAATGGAAACTTCAAATAAAAAGTGAGAACCTAAAATAAATGGTGATAATAAATCCTCTAAAAGAATAAATTCTGTGTCACGAATGCTTAAAATGCCGGAAATTCAGTGCAGCTGTATCTTTTTCGGGTTATGGACTTGAATTACTTACGGATTATTGCAATATTGAAAGTTTACTATTTTGATAAAATTTGCTTACACAAGTTAGCATTTTTAATTGAATCATACACCCAATGAGTTAGTTAATTGTTTTTAAAATTACATTCTCTTTCCATGCTTACCAATAGGGTGTTTCAATTAGAAGACTTTATTAATTACACTCCTAATTAAGGGTATTTTTGAAAAAAATTCATTAATTATACTTTAAAAGACTCAAAATGCCTTAAGCCTTATATTTTTGAACGGAAGGAGTGCATAGTTATGTAATACAACATTTAAAATTTACATATCCTTTATTTATATATCATTTTTCTTCTTTCCTAATTTTAGTGCTCCGTGCCTTATTGGCAAAGACATTGGGGGAAAGGATTTCTAGTTGCTTTTGTCTTTGAGTATCTTGAAGTGGCAATGACTTTTTATTGCCTTGCCTCAATAATTTACTTTGCATCTTTGACTTCAGTGGCTATAATTACAGTGATAATTCATGTAGGAATGGATGATGACCATGATATCATGCAGGCAGTAGGCTAATTTTTGTGTTTTATTTATTATCATATTGGTAAGGGATGAAAAAAGTAGAATGGTTGTGGTAACAATGGAAGTTATAAAGGTGTAGGTAACTCAGTGGACCTAAGATTGTGTTCAAGGTGATGGTGATGGACTGACTGACTTTGCTCGGCAAGGTTGGTGGCCAAATTGTGGCAACAAGGTCGTAATATTGCTGTTTCTTGGCCACAGTGTGCTGGAGATTGTAAAGATGATCATGGAGATCAAAATGTTTGAAAATTATAATGAAAACAAGATGATTATATTTAACATCAACGTGAAAGTGCTGGTTATGACAGTGGAAAACAAGTTGGGCTCAGTCTCTGAATTGATGGGGTGTAACTAGCTGGGTCGTTAGAATTATTTCCATTTCATAGTTTTTATCCCCCTGCTTAACTGAAGGAAATAAAAAATTAACAATAATGCTGCATCAATGATCAATCTATCCTTGCTAACTACTATGCCAATTTTGTCTTGATTAGCAAATATTCTCACTCTGAACTCCTTTCTCCCCTTCCAAAAGTCTAGCAATATCACCAAGATGGATTGGGTTGTAACTTGTGAGAGTCTTGGTGCAAAAATTTTGTGCGAGTGAGTTGTTTTATCAGTTCTTGATGACTCTCCTATACGAGGGGAAGAAAGAGGGGAAAAAAGTTTCTCTTTTTCAAAAACAAGAACATTTCATTTTGTCAACCGAAGGTTTCTGCTGTTCTGCTTGCTGTGATATGATCCTAAATTTGTTGTGCTGTGAGATATCTTTGGATAGGAGTACCTATACCGTTTTAACCCTAACTTACTTTGATGTGATTAGCTAACTTATTACTAATAGTTTTGTAAAGTTAATTGTTATTATTGTGATAATATACTTTTTTCTTATGAATAATCAAATTTTCTTATTTGTTTTTAAAATGGAATAGGAGAAGGGATTGAATTGACTACTTTTCATTCTTCTCCTATGGTTTAAATTTTAAAACAGTTCAAGAGGAGTAACTGAGGCATGCAATTTATGTGTTTTCACTACAGATAATAGTTTTCCTCAAGTTTACACCAAACATTATTACCGTAGCTCCTCTGCAGCAGCCTGTTTAGAAACAGAAGTGACAGCTTCTGATAAGTTGTGAAATTCCTCTACTGACCCTGGGATGGAGCAAATTTTGCTTGATCATCAATTCTCGCTTCAATTATTTGTTTCATTTTTATTTCTTTTATTTTTTCTCTTAGCGGCCACACTCTTAGCAGTAGTTCACATCGCATGTCTTAGCTTATGCTTGAGTTGCAAGCTACAGTGAGTCCGTGTAATTGGCAATTGGCTGTGTGCATATGCTTTCCTTTATGTAATAAAATATTATTAGTGCTTTTTTTATTTGTTTGATACCTTTCGGACTTCTGATATTTCTTTTCCTTATTGGAGAGAATTAGCTTCTTCACAGAACGCTTTACCGCCCTACAATTACTGGGGATTAAGATAATGCATAATAGCTGTTGGCATGGTGCATATTCCCGTTTCAGCCTCATTCTAATTTTATGGGCGCTACATTTTAGAATCCAATGCATGCAAAGCGAAATGGTGGTTTAGCTTTGCTGCACGTCAGATAAATGCCCCTCGGTTTGCTTTGCTTTGATAGATGGATGACATGCTTTTGTTGGATTATTGAAACATGTGGAAAAAGCTCGTTTAAATTTTCATGTTGTCCTTTATTCTTTGGGTAAATTACATCCAACGACCAAAATGTTAAAATATTAAAGTTAAAGGACTTTTAAAAGTTACAATTACGTTTCAGGAAGGTTATAATTTTAAACAATCTATATACACTTGTAATAAATCCCTGAACCAAAAAAAAAAAAAAACAAATTGTTCTCGAGCCATGAATACTATAGTTTGATTTGCCTTTCATTTTATCATCTCGGCCTTTAGATTTAATTTTTCCTTAATTCTTTTGTGACAATGTTTATGATCAAACTACTACATGGTAGTATTGCGCATGCTGTGACTTGGGCTATGTTGGCTAATTATGATTTATTTGTTTTCTTTCAGCAACGGCCACATCATCCTGTTCGCCCAATCCCATCCCAGCTCTGGTGTAAGAACTTTGGAACCAAAGATTACAAATAATCTTCTAGATTACTGCCGCGGGTTTTTCAACTCGTCAAACAACTTCGCATTTGCTTGTCGATTTCAGAAAAGTATAAGCTACTTTGAACAGTCGCTGTTTTGTTGTCAATATCATATAAGACTTGCTTCTCGGATCTTCTCGTAATAGGCTTTGAGCATCTATGTTATTAAATTTGATAGAATAATAAGTTGGCTGTTGACCTGAAAGCGTGTTCAAACAGTTATAATTGATGTTGTTCAACATTTTTTCCCCAACGGGTTGTTTAGTTTCCTAGTTCTGACACGTTACAGCTCATATGTTGCATATTACTACATAGGAAGTTTATAAAATGGGGAGGAAGAACAAAGAGCGATAAATATTGACAATAATTTTTAGCTGTTAATAGCTGTAAGATTCTTTAATGAGAATATGACGAGTTAATTTTGTGTTTAAATATGTTTGCGTTTGACTTAATTTTACAATTCTCATTTGGTCTCGTCACTAGAAAAATGAGTAATGTATTATCCATTTTAAATAATTCAATTTTTAAGGTCTGTCTATATGTGCGTGCGTGTGTGTATTATATAAATTCTGAACGAATTGATTGACGGACAAATGCAGTTCATAAACTTTATTCCAAATTGTAAGATGACATTATTTGCCTGTACACTCGGAATCAAACTAAGCCGAGAGGCATTAAAGGAATGAAACTGAAACTTCCACTCAAGAAATAGTATTGAAACTGTGAGCCAGAGTCTGCTGATTGTTTTGGTCAGCTAGGCGGTCAAGATTCTTCAGAGGAGAGTCTAAACTTCTAATTAAAGGAGGCATAAAGGTGTGAGTGGGAAAGAGATTGAAAGAAAAAGAAATACAACTTAATACACATACACAGAATATTCAGTATAACAAATAAAAATAAAAATTAGAAATATCGTAGTATTATAAATAAAAATATAATAAATATGATTATTATTAATATGATTCCAGAAAAGTTACCAGACCAAATATATATATATATATATATATATTTGTTGGGGAGGGGGGATGGGTTTGGTAGCTTCAATTGCAATTATGGAATTCAATTCTTTCGATTCTGAGGAAGCAAATTGTGACCCAAGACCCATCCCATATCCTTCTCCTCTTTACAACGAATAAGGAAAATTCTCTCATTCTATTCTGTGGATGTTGGCTCAATCTTGAAACAGACTGTGTCCAATACTTGAATGTATTCTATTACAATTTAAATGCACTCGAAAAGAATAATTTTGAAGCATTTATTATATATTAAGTGGCTGAACAAAACTATAAGTATCCATGCGCGCGAATATTAAATTGAAAAACATTTGGTCTTGTAATCAATAATAACTTGAAATAAGTATCAACTGAAATATGACACAATCTGATATCAAATACTAAAACTCGAGGGTGGGAAAGGCAAAGGGAAGAATATTAGTGTTGTGCGGACATTTCAGGGCCCTGTTTGGACAAAAAGTTGAGTTTGCAGGCCATCAAATGTGGACACCGTATAATATTCTTTTGCCTTCATCGCCTCAACGTCACTCAATTCCTACAAATAAAATAAATAAATAAAATGGTAGCACTCGAAGGGGAAAGATGGACAAGTGAAAACCAGATAACACCTGTTGATCAAGAATAAATCGGATTCTATTCATTTGTTATTCCAAAAGAATGATTTGTGTTATTCTTACCCATGCATGCAATGAATTTGAATAATCTATAATTTTTTTTTACTAGGAATAAGTATTTCGAAAAATAAAACCGGAGGGTTTGAATTGATGTTATTTAAAACGATGAATGGTAAGTTTCTTCTTCTACTCTCAATCAGTGATCGTGTCGCTAGTTTATGTCTTGTGTTCTTTGTATTGCTATTAGCCCGTTGCGCAGGTGATGTTGTTTTCCAGGGTTAAATGTATAATAAAATTTAGTGTTTAAAACTGAATTAATCCGACCAATTGAACCAATATCAAATGTTTTGTGTATGATCAATCTGATCACAGATTGATGACAGTTTTAAACATTAATTTTTGAACCAATACCTTAAATAGTTTAATAATATCAATCTAGTCTTGAGTAGCTTGATAAAATTTCAATGACCAAAAAGAGTATAGAAAGCGACCATCCATGTTGCTGAATTCAAAAGTTGCTAAATCAAATGTTGATCGATCAGTCTAAAAATCTGGTGGCATCTTTAGAATATTTTAAAGACAACTAGGATAGAGTTGGATCATATCAGCATCGGAGCATCAGATTTCAATATATTTTTCAGTTATGCTTGTTCAGGTCACAAAATGAATGAATGAACTCCTTGAAAAGTTTTTCGTGTTTCATCCGTGTTTTTAATTAAATAATTGAATGAGAAATTATTCAATATTCTGGGAATCACAGGACACAGGTTTTGACTCTCGGACCAGTCACATGTTTGGTTGTTATCTTTTTTGTTGAAGATTTTGTGATTTTTCTCAATTTTGAAATGTTTGATTTTATGTTCATGCTACATCATATATTCATATATTTATAAGATTTTTTTTAAAAGAAAACATAATTTTAGATCTCTACATTTTATTTAAATTTTACCATAGGTCTTTGTATTTGTTTCATGTTCCCAATCCCTATGCCTTTATTTTTTAATGTTTTAAGTCCCTATAACACTACTTATGGAAACATCTAGAACACTGAAAAATAAAAGTGTAAGGATATAGAATACGAAAAAAAAGTGCAAAAACCTATAGCGAAACTCGAACAAAGCATAGAAATCCAAAATTATGTTTTTTTTTTTTTAATGTCATTGTGAAAGTTAATTTTATGATTCAAATTAACAAAGATTGATGATCCTGTTATATATGGATTAAAATGAGACAACTAATTATTTAAGGGAGTGCATGATTAATGGTTGGGAGTTACATGCATGAACTAAAAAGTTTACATAGGCTTATTATTAAGTTTTAAAGGTTAATGAGATTGTTTGTATATGGTCAAAGTTTTAGAGGAGTTTTGTTTAATTTAAACTAACTTTTTTTATGTAGTTTAACTAAACTGTGATCCCATTTTTCGCACATGCACAAATGAGTTGCATTACCGACAAGCATGGGAGAATAGTATATTTTTTAAAAACGTAACTTTAAATTGTTATACTTTGCTTGTATTTTATTATATATCCTTGTACTTTTTTCAGTATTTTAAATTTTTATACTTTTATTTTTTTTTAATATTTTGAGTCTTTAAATGAGTAAAGTATAGGAACATTATAAGAATGTAAAGTGCATATTGAGAAAACTGTAAGCAATTAGAACATCAAAAATAAAGTGTAGGAACTAAAAACAAATCACGTTCAAAGTGTAAGGATTAAAAATTATGTTTTCTTATAAAATTTTTAAGTTTTAAAAGATCATATAGGATCCATAATGAAAATTAAATGTGAATATAAGATTTTTAATAAAATAATAGATATTAGATATGTAATAAAATTTACATGGAATAACATGATTTAGATAAAAAGAACTTTCCATATATTTATTATCAAAACAGGGTAACAAATTAAAATAGCTTGTGTGAGTATATATGTAACAGGTTTTTGTTTATATTCCTCTAATGCATAAAGTATAAATATCTATTATTTTATTATTTATATGTAAAAGTTAATTATGGTTTGAATACTCATAAACATTATTAATGTAGTTATGTGCCTTAAGTATGAGCCAAAAAAAAAAGAGCTACAAGTTAATTATATAATATTAATGAATTCATTTTTCACTACAGACCTAATCTTTTTTTAATAATCACTGTGTTCCTTATAATATTTGTACATATAATTGATAAATGGTATTAAGACATGAATTATATTATTTGCTTGGTTTAGAACTATTATAATTATAATTTGTAAATAATATTATCGTATAAATTATAGTACGGTTCACTATAGTACATGTTTTATTTTTTTTAAGGTGATAAATGAGGCAACACATTTTGAAAAAGAATAAGGTAGATTATTTTCAAATTGTAGGAGGTGGGAAATTATAAAAAACAATGATATCTTTTACTATGTATAAGAATAGCACATTACAAAATAAAAATAATTCTTTATAAGTATCATCCTATTAAAATTTTAATTTTATACTTACAAATTATAGGGATACCTTAACAGATAAAAAAATAAGTTATTATTTTTTAATTTACATGGGAGAATACATTCTAAAATAAAATAAGTTATTATTTATTATTTATATTTTTAATATGTATGAACATAACAAATTTTAAAATAAAATATTCTTTAGATTTTAATTTACAGAAATTAATAAATTATAGGGTAAAATACATAGACATCCCTTTTGTTTTGATAGAATTATAAAAATGACTTCATTTTTTTAGATAAATATAAAGACTTCTTCTTTACTTTTAAAACTTACACTTTAGTTTTATTTTTAAAACGGTTAGGAATATTATGTTAAATATTTTAAAATATTTAATTTATTATTTGTATTTATGTTGAAAAAGTTTAAATTATTAATTTACCCTATAATCTATTTGTCTATCTTCTCACTTTCTAATTTAAGGAACTTCAAACAACTTTTAGCACCAAAAAAAAAATTAAGTATAAAATAATTTACAAATGTTTTATTAAAAATTATAAAATTTAAATAAAGATAAACACACGTGTTTGAAATATTATTTTAGTAAATGTATCCCTTTTGTTGAAAAACATAATGTATTTTTTAGAAGGTATTTCTTTAGGGTTGGATGATTAAAAAAATATAAGATGTTTTTAGTATTTGAAGGTGTAATTACTATTTTTTTTAAGTTCCTTTAATGAATAAATTATTTTATAGTATTTTACAGTGAAATGCCTAATTAAATAGTAAATATAAAAATACAGTGTTGTTTTGAAAATAATTAGCTACTTTGTTGGGGATTGAGATTAGGTTAAAAATATTTTATATTTTTTAAAAGATGGAGCATGAATTTAATTTTTAAAAAAATACTACTAAATAAATTAGTTTGTATGACTAATAAGTTTAAAATATAAAGGAAGATTTTAAAAAATATATCAATAATGATATTTTAGTAAAATATATGTAACTTAACTATTAACTAATGATTGGATGGATAAAATAAAAATTTAAAAGTAGGAGACATATTTATATTTTGTAACTCTTAACTATTAATTTTAAGAGTGATTTATTTAAAATACTTGCATACATTGCATGAGATATAAATCTAGTTATATAAATAAATATTTACAGATTTTAAATGTAAATGA